AACACTGCGTACTGCAGGAATTAAACCCCAGATGAGATTACATGCACTAACAACTGGGCCACAAACAGTAAAACAAACTTTCAGCAAGAAATATTAGACTTTCACCTTAATTTCGTACGCTCTCTTTCGTTTGTTCGTCCCTGCCCTTCCTTTGTTCTCCAGTTCATCGTTATGCACGCTCTCATGATCATACTGTTCCTCAGTCAGCTCAAGATCATCGTCCATTTTACCACACCTATGCAGGATCTTCACACATTCTAACGATGCCAACATTCGAGATTTTAACCTCCCAACATCCAGATCTACGTCACTCCCCTTGTTCACCTGGACTGCAGGACCCTAACAACGATTGAGACTTCTTAGTACATGTAGGACGCAATAGCTGGGTCTCAGGTCGTAGCAAAACATTGCTTTACCACGCCCTGGTTTCACTAAGCACTATCGTCGAGCAGATGGTGGTCAACCAACCTGCAGTAATTATCAGGGGTTGGTTGTTCAAAGCTGGATTAGTGCTAACCCTGGGTTAAAATTTAACCTGCTGTTTTAGTTTGTGTATTTATACACGTCTGTTTATTTCAAAACTTCAGAGAAGTAAACTCCGGTCGATCCAAACAACATCTCTGAAGAAATATTTCCAAATTTATGGACAAGCTGTCAGGAAGTTTGTTTTGAATTTTAATAGGTTAACCCAGGGTTAAGCTAACCCAGCTTTGAACAACCGGCCCCAGAGTGAGAAAACGTTTACATTTTTTGTAGTAATCTTGTATTTGGAGGCAAGTATATCAAGCTGGGAGCTCCGAGTGTCAATAATTCAAAAGTTGACCACAATCTGCTGCAAAAAGGACGGCAAAACAACGCATTGAAATTCATTAAGATGAGGTCAAGTCTGTTCTGCGCATGTGCTATGCGAGGGCCCTCTGGCTCTGATGTGAATCATGCATAAGTTAATATATTAACTATGTGTGAACACTACCCAAATTTCGCGTTGTTTCGACATCTTCTGAATTGATTTTTTCTGTGTTGGTGTTATGTACTCAGGTGAATATGAAGTTTGTGATGTTACTCTGAGTGTATATCCACACCGGGCGAGCTTGAAAAATATGGCCTGGCCACGGTGGGAATCGAACCTACGACCTTTGGAATACTAGCCCAATGCTCTGTCAACTGAGCTATGCGGTCAGGTCGGTTCGAGTATGTGATATTTCGGAACTGAGTCTAGTTCCCTCGATAATCGATATCAATGCAATCTAGTAATAAGTTGTTTTTTTTTATTCCAAAGGTCGTGGGTTCGATTCCCACCGTGGCCAGGCATATTTTTGAAGCTTGTCCGGTGTGGATCTACACTCAGAGTAACATCACAAACATCTTCTAAATTGAAACTCGAATCTATATTCATTTGATATTAACCAAGTGCATCATTGTATGAATATAGTGTCTTCAAAATGCAAACTGCACATCCGTTGAACGGACTTGACCGCCTCTTTAAAGATACATATATACAGCAATACATAATAGACTCTTTCTTGCAAAGTCTTTAAAAAAATAAACTTCTACAAGACAGGCAGCAAGAGAAACTGTAAGAAATAACATTGTTTCATTTACCTCAACAATTGAACAATAACTGCTCAGTGGAAGATAAAGTTTCGACACAAACTCTACGCAATTTTCTGTCAAATCTTTCCTCTGCGTTATAAACTCTGCGTAAAGATTGAAAAAATCAGCCCTGTTGATTCGACGACAGTATCTGCGAACAAAGAAATTATTTTTATTATTATTATTTACAATAATTTAAAAACAGTAGCCCTTCAGTCAAAGTCTGATTTTCAAAGGGCCATTTCAATTCAGCTTTACTTGTAGTAGCCCTATAGTAGTAGCCCGACTAACTTCGCGATGAACGGTCTTTCCTTGATTGTCGAAGTTCTGTTTATTTCGTGTATATCTCTCACACCACAGATATCTCTAAATCGCGCCATAAACATTCGCCCCAATACGCCCAACTTTATTATTTTACTCAGTCTAACGCCAGAGAGGGCGTTGGCGCTTGGGCCTGCACGCAGGCTAAACCACCTCTCACCTCACCGCTTTAGACATTGTATAATATCAGCAAATTATAGTTCATTATATATTAATCGAGATTTTTGATACAGCTGTTGTTTGTAACAAATTAAGATTGTTCATATAAATTTATTGATAATCTGATCAACTAAAGGCGCTTGGTATGTTCTCAATGGTTTAATAACTTATCAATCAATCAATCAATCAATCAATCAATAATCAATTAATCAAACTAACCGGTTAATTAAATAGATACTTGACTCCATCGACACAGAAGGACCGTTCTCACCAAATGGCGTGTAACTACAGGGATGTTTTTCAGCAAGACGCCGCAGCCATATTTCTTTATTTTCTTGAGTAATATAATCTGATACTCTTTTCGCGATTTCTGATTCAATATGAACAAATACCTGAACCAAGTTTCACATAATTCAGTAACTAGTCAGAAATGATAGAAAACGGGCTCTCGAGTGCGTGCGTTGAAACAGCGTTCTCAGTGTTCTAGTCGAACTATAGTAGGCGTTCCAATTGCTTTCAGAACGTGTAGTTCCATTGGAACGCAATTTGATTAATTAGAACGTAATCATAAGTCATGCACACGATACCGCTTGTCACACTGTCGGATTTAACGGTTTTATGAATATCTTAACACCTCAAATTGCTACCACATGACAAAATAAGACGACAAGTTGACAACTGTCAGGTGGGGAAATTTTTGTTGGCAAACATTACTCCTAAACAGTATATGTCAAAAAAAGCGATATTGTGTAACTTGGGGCGTAGGTCTCGTTCATTAGGTTATTTCTATGATAGCTTTCTTCCGCATGAGTCATACCTGTAAATTACTTTTCATTTCGTCTGAACGATCTTCGTTAAACACCAACATTAATTTTGGTGCTAAACCTTTGATCTTGTGTTTGATTTGATAATACTCTTCATAGCTTGACGGTGTCCCAAAATACACCAAAACATTAAATGTAGTTAGAGAAAGATCAGAAAACAAGTCCACTGTTGTCACCACAATATTCACCATCCCTTGAAGCACTGCTTGTAAAACACTCTCAGTCCTCTCCTCTTCTTCACGGCTCCCATTCTTAGACTGAATCACACATCCAGATTTCATAAAACTGTACTTTGCGTTGCAAGTTGACATGTAATTGATGAGCTTACTTAACATTTTTGCAAAGGAGTTAGACCTTGTTATAATAATGCAATAAAATTGAGATTTATTTCTGAGTTTCTGTATTCGTTTTTCCAGAACTGGTGGTCCGTTTAAGGACTCGTTGTTCCTCATTGATTCTTGGTCTAGAGATGAATTCGTTTCACTATGAGCAGTTTCCTCTTCGCTTTCATATAAAGAACTCTTGTCTGCTAAACTATCCTCCTCAAACTTAGTACTTTGCTCAGTTTGTACGTCTGTTACACAAGGCTTTTGTTTACTGGTTACGTCAGCTTCGTGTTCACCAATTTCAACTCCTTGTTCAGCAGTGGTGGTATTGCATAAAACTTGGTATGGTGTGAGCTTCTCAAAAATTTCATACATCAAACTTGAATGAATGGGTGCTTTAGATTGACTGTTGACAAGTTTTTGAACCAACTCAAACCGTGTTTTACATGCTTCAATCGCAAGTGCCACAAACGCGTTATTTTCCTTATTTAACATCCCTGACAAGGTGTTCTGAATATGTTCTAGCATGAAATTCAAACTCCACAAGCCAAAGATTGTCAAGACCTTGACAGCCCACAAAACAACGGCTCTCACTTTTTGAATAGACTTAGAAACCTCAGCAATATTCATATCTTGAAGAAAGTCTGAAATCTCGTATAAAAGTTTCCAAACATTTCTTTCAATCGGACTTAGATTCTTCGGACTATATGGAACAGTTTCAACCGCAATTTCTTCACCAAAAGCATTCATGGCCAATACATCTTTTGACATAAAAATTGGCAAATCGTAAATTTCCTCTAAATAGTCCAGTTGAATTTTTAGGTCAGTTGCATTGTGGATATCATGCAGATCTAGCTCAACTAGTCCGATAATCCGCGGCTTTGCATCTTCCTTGGAAAGTGTTAAAATTGTTGGATGATCTCTGGCAATGGTTCTTAGGGTGGTAAGGAGTATAACTACAGATATATTATTGGCATGCATGTATCCCTTTGCTAAGCACTCATGAAAATTATTTGTTGACATCAGCACGACATCTTGGTTCACTTCATGTGGTAACGATGCTGCGTCATTAAGACTGGGAAACACAACTGGTTTTCTTGGCAGCAATTGATTGAATACTTTGATCAGCGGAGTCATATCTATCCCTTGTTCAATAAAAGGACAGGAATTAAGATTGAGACGTGGTATTTATGTACATTTTATTCATTAGCTGGGGAAAGGGGGAAATGTCCTTTTCAGGTAGAGTGCAAACTATTTTCTGGTGGAGAGGGGTACCTGGTTGAGCTTTTTGGGGAAGGAGTGGTGATTTTTCCAGGGAGCGGGCTCTAGCATTTTCTGACTGGGGTTATTATGACTTTTTCAGGGAGGAGTGTGGTCTTTTAAAGCAGAAAGAGTTAATTTTTTCAAGGATGAGGAAGTACTGATTTTTTCTGGTAAGGGGGGATAAGGGCTGACCCTCTCTGTCAGGGGGTGCTGAATTTTTCTGGGGAGGAGTTTTTCTAGTGCTTAGGCGTAAAAAAATACCTGCGGTTCCTGTTCCCGACCGACCCTATTTTTTTCTGCCGACCCTATTATTTTTTCAACGCGATTGACTGTGCGACCCTATTTTCTCCAGGTGGTTGCGGGCTGCTCATACAGCGTGCCAAAATGCCGTCTGTTGTCACAATAATTATTGAACCATATTGCCTCAATACGTCCATAGGAAATACGCATCTCTAGTTAATATTGATGTCGGGACTCTACTGCAAATCGCCCAGCAAAAAAACGGCAAAACCATGAAAAAAATATTTTAAAAAAAAATTATTTCTGACCTACCGACCCTAATTTTTTCACGATATGAAACCGGAACCACAGGTATTTTTTTTTACGCCTTATGCACACACCTGCGGAAATGTGCCTATGATGTATAGCATGATGAAATGCTGTGTGCATCTTACGCTTTCTAACAACAGGACTATTTATGCTAGGAGAGAACATGGGCGGATTTACTGGGGGGGGGGGGTTAGGGGGGTTAAACCCCTCCTAGAATCTCTCTAACCCCTCTTATAAAGTGTTCAACCCCACCAAAATTTTGCTTCACTCCTCCTATTTAATGTGAAAGTCTTTAACCTTAACGCCTAAACCCTGTCGAAGCTCGCTCAGTGGTGCCGCTTGCACCCCACCAGAAACTTTTCTACCCCTCCTTTAAAAAAAATGAAAATCCACCCTTGGGAGAGAAAGTTATACTGTTAATTTAGTGATATTGTTGCTATAGACTATTTCAGTTCCAGGGGGGGGGGGGACATCCACAATATCTAAATATTATTAGTTTACAATTATTGATATTCTACATGAAAAACTACAACCAATAATATGTTCATACCACCATTTTACTCACCGGAGCTGTCATCTATCAGAACTACAGCCCACTTCTCACTTTCATTTTGCAAAAATTCATTGACTATTTGATAACAAATAAAGCTTTTGGATGTCGGCACAGACACAACCAATGCACAATCATGATGCAGGGCAAAGTTAAACAATTCTGCTTCGTGGTGGGGCCTTTTCAACGCAATAACAGGCATCCCTAGCGGGCCTATCCTGCCCTTTGCTGCCGCCATTTTTTGAGATGAAATTCGTGATGAAGACCTTATATAGCCACATTACATGAAGTACATGGGAAATCTTGCTGACTTTGCAAAATCTTCTCAATGACACAACAATACAAAAATAAAGTTGTCAATATTTCAGAGATTGTCTGGGGATTTATTGTTTCTGTAGTATTATTTCCTCTGAAATTACTTGTTTATGGTGTATTTCAAGCGTTTTATCTGCTGATCTGGTTTCGACTTTGGGGCAAAATGGCTTCAAGAGGTAGCAAAGGGTCGGCATCTATTAAGAACGAAGATGGCAATATAAATGATGGCTCGATACCACAAGTTATTGCAGATATACGAAGACATCATAAACAAGCCTATGCCTATATTGATAAAGCTTTGAGAATCGATGAATCCGCTGGTAGGGTACTTCAATTTTGAGGGCGTTTAATAGCTATAAATAATAAATATTAATAGTTGATATTTAATATTATTTATCAATATGTTTACAGTAATCCATATTTAAAAATGAAATGCTAATGTACATAATTTGAATTTTTACATTACAAATTGTATCTCAAATGTAAGGTTTTTATCAGTTCATCTTTCACACTAGAGAATGTGCTCATTTTGTCTGTTGAATATTAACTAAACTAAACTTGATATTACTGATGGTACAAAAGTGAAAGTGTCAAAAAATTAGGAGCTGTTGCACCTTTAACAAGCTTGATTGTCTGCTGTTAGAGTGAAAAACAGAGAGGGCAACAGCTACCCATGAGCTACATATTTATTTCCTCAGGAAATTGTGATGCAAAAGAAAGAGCAATTGAGTGCTATAAACAAGGCATTGACGAACTAAAGAAAGGAATTGAAATAGAATGTGATGAACAAGGTATGGTTAATGTTGAATGACTAACATATTGTACAGGAGCTGGTTGTTTAAAGCACAATTAGTGCTAACAGTGGGTAAATTTAACCCATTCCTTTGGGTTTGTGTATGTCTGTTTATTTCAAAACTTAGATAATTAAACATCTGATCATCTAAATTTTTGGGTGAAAAATTTCCAAGTTTATAAACAAGCTACTTGGAAGTATGCTTTGATTTTCACATTAACCCAACTTGGTTAAGTTAACCAGTGTTTGAACAACCAGCCCCAGGTAGTTTAGACAACAACCACAACAGCCTATTGTTGAATAACTGCATCCAACAGGCTAGAAACCCAAGGTATGCTAATTTTTTATGTATGCAATGTGTACCTATTTTTATACCAAACTACATATTTGGAGTATACATCCTTATTTGGTAATGTACACATTTGTACCTATTTTTTCACGTGATTTTCTTTGCCAGTAAGGATGATGGGTATGTACACAGTGTGCACCTATTTTTATAGCTAAGATTTGTTTTAGGAGAAGAATGGGATCGGGCAAGATCTTTGCAGATTAAGATGGAAGACAACTTCAAAAGCACCACGGCACGAATGGATGAACTTGGTTGGTTTTAAGCCCTGTTTACACTACGCTCCATTTTTGGTACCGTACCACTTTTTTGGTTCTTGTAGTCCAAGAACCAAAAAGTAGTACAGATACCAATTTTCTTTTTTGGTTCTTGTAGTCCAAGAACCAAAAAGTAGTACAGATACCAATTTTATCTGTGCCGTACCAAAAATTGAGCGTAGTGTAAGTAGACTTTAGTAGCTTCACCTTGTTGTACACATAAAATTTATGGAAGGGAATCCACAACAGCCTAAGCTACCTCTCTCCTCCGCAGAGGCTTTAGTTTTCTTAGGATTTAATGTTACGATGAGATACATTTCACTACACTTTACATGGCGGATCTTGGAACACGAGCGTAGCCGCTTAAATCTGGTTGACACTATCAAAGTTTCTCTGTTCCTGTCATCACAGTAGGAATTTTGCATGGGTAAAGTTTTGAAGGATTTGTAAGAAATGTTTGAGGAAACTTAACACTAAGTCAGTTCCCTCAAACATTTCTTACAAATCCTTCAAAAGTTAGAATTTACCTGTGCAAAATTTCTACTGTGATCACAGAAACTTTCGATATAGTGTAATCCAGGCTTTACTGTGGCAGTAGTATAGCATAAGCAGAAATCATGCATTTAACAAAGAAATACCTAATTGATGATTCCACTAGCTGTAGACGAAATTTTGATCTAGATAAGAAGAACGAAACCATTACCATAGCTAGAAAGAGCATCTTAAATTGAGTAAAATTGCAAAGTTTGGTTGCGAATTGTTGTAAAATGAGGAAAATGTAGCCCTGTGAACTTCGCAAATTTTGTAACATTTGCATTACGCGCGGGAAAAGTGGTTATTTTTACCGGGCGTAATACAAATATATATAAAATTTGCGAACTTCACATGGCTATTTTCTTCATTTTACAACATTTTACAACCAAACTTTGGAGTTTTACTTATTCTAAGATGCTCTTTCTAGCTGTGGTGTTGGATTTCGTTTATTAAAATTTAGTCTATAACTGGAATGACCCATTCTAACATGCGTTCCACATTCCTTTTTTTCAGTGGCTCTTCTGGCATCACAGTCCGTAAGTTCTGGAACTAAACCAAAATCAAAAACAAGTCTTCCCAAGAGTTTTAAAAAACCACTATCCAATGGACCCAGTAGTAGACCAACCAACAGCAGCCAGCCTAAAACAACCACGGACAGACGCAAACCAGCGCAAAGTCCCAGGCTAAATAGACGTCCTGGACAACAAAAGCCCGAGGTACGGTAGTTACCAGATTTGAAGTGGGGCGGTGGTAAAGCCCGAGGTACGGTAGTTACCAGATTTGAAGTGGGGTGGTGGTAAAGTCTGAGGTACGGTAGTTACCAGGTTTGAAGTGGGGTGGTGGTAAATCCCGAGGTACGGTAGTTACCAGATTTGAAGTGGGGTGGTGGTAAAGCCTGAGGTACGGTAGTTACCAGATTTGAAGTGGGGTGGTGGTAAAGCCTGAGGTACGGTAGTTACCAGATTTGAAGTGGGGGCGGTCATGCAAACTCTTATCAACTTTCGTTTGACCAGGGCCCAAGACTGTTTTCCACTTCATCCGAATCGTAATGTACCGTAGCGCTTTCTTTTCTGCAGAAGTCATTAATTCCACCCTGCCCCTGGTCCTCGCAAGAAAAATAGGCTAGGTTCGTTACGGTTGAAGTGGAAAACAAACTTAGCTGGTCCAATTAATATACACTACCATCATTGCTGTTTTGCAGGCTGGCAGACCATCGCGAGTTCCATCGACAAATTCTTTGGATGAATTAAAAAAAGATCAGAAGAGAAAAGTGTCTTATTTAAAAAATATTGATTCAAAGATTGCGAGTAGAATACTCGATGAAGTCGTTCAAAAGTGAGTGTTTGTTGTCACCAAAGATTTATGAAAACTATACTAACTTTATCTATACTAGATAGCTCAATCAGATCTAAACTGTTCTCCCCCAGTATTACTACATTTACAAGAGGAAAGTGGAGTGCCTGGAGAAACCTGCGGTGTTTAATAGAGTCAAACTGGAAGCACTCATCTCACGCGCGATTGACGACTTAAGATCATTAAAACGTAAAAGAATCAACAACCAGCCACTTTAAAACTTACCCTCACCCCACACCTAACCCCCACACTAGCCCTAATACCTATAACAATTTTGGAACCATCTTGTCCATCCCTTTTAGACATTATTATACCAATTGATCAGACAACTGCATATTGCAGAAACGAAGCCACGCAGAAACTGACCTACGTATTAGTTTGCTTCATGTTTCATCGTCACTACATTTTCTTTCAGCTCACCCGACGTGACTTTTGACGATGTTGGTTAGTAAAATACTATGACGTAAAAACACAACATTGAAAAGTTCGACTATGTCCTTTCAATGACTCAGTTCAATCTTTTTTGTAATTTAGCTGGAATGGAGAACGCCAAGCGATTGCTTCAGGAGATTGTTATTTTGCCTGCTTTAAGACCAGAGGTGTGAAGTTGAAATACAGTTAGCATTTCTTAATTTTGTTGTAATTGGTTGCAATTAGAATTTCTTAATTGTGACTTTCACATGTAATTTGTAATAATGTCTTTCTAGTTATTCACAGGTCTGAGAGCGCCAGCCCGAGGTCTGTTACTCTATGGTCCTCCTGGGAATGGCAAGACAATGTTGGTAGGATATATTTAAACATCACTCACAAAAACATGCATTTCAACTCACCAGATTCTGCTCACGGAGTCCACATGTTATATTGAGCTGATTTATAGCATTCTTTTTCAGGCCAAAGCCGTCTCTCATCAGTCAAAAGCGACGTTCTTCAATGTGAGTGCGGCTACTTTAACATCCAAGTGGGTAAGTGATGGTCTATACAAGTGAAGTTATTTTATTTTCTCGCTATATATACAATATAGCATACAGTACCTAAATAGATTTCTTGATGATTATGTCTCTATCTTATATTTCAAAGCAATCAAGATAAATTCTTTGCCTATAGGTTGGTGAGGGTGAGAAACTCGTTCGAGCACTGTTTGCCGTTGCCAGAGAACTACAACCATCTATAATATTTATTGGTAACAAAATGATAATTTACTCTTCTTTCTTTCGTTACTCGCTTCTTTATCCGACTGCTTCTTGGCCTCCGTCGTTTTTCTTTCCTTTCGGAACGATAATATATACTTGCGATTCAATTTCATAACTCTCAACGTTTTCAGATGAAATAGATTCTTTGTTGTGTGAAAGAAAGGAGGGTGAACAGGAAAGCAGTCGAAGAATTAAAACAGAATTCTTGTTGGCTTTTGATGGTGTAAGTTTTTTCGATTTGTACGATAGCTGACCGAAGCCTCGGTCAAACGAGGTTGAGAGTTGATGAGAGTTGGCAGCCCCTCATTGCTACAGCGGACATTTCAAGCTCTAGATTAACAAAATAAAGGTTTGATGAATGTTCTAACTATGTTTTACTACATGATAGATGATAGTGTTGGGAAAGCTAAGGCGGACAGCTAACCAAGATCGCGTGACTCTCATGCAACCTCCCATCCTCGTTTGATCCTGGCTGTACAACAACATTTTATTGTGTCTATAAATTTACATTTTTTACAGTTTTATCACACTCAACAGAAAGATAATTGCAAGACACCGGTTGCTTAAATAACCATAATGGGCTAACTTATAACACCGAGTTGGAACCTGGGACAGATTGACAAAATCATTCTTGCACATGTTTCTATCCAGATTCCTTTCACTTCCTGAGTTCACTCCAATCTTGTGTCCAGTTCAGATGTTGTCGGTAAAGGCCCATTTCCACTCAAGAAAAATTTCCAGGGACAGAAAGTTTTCCGAAAATATCATTGTTAAAATTTGAAAATTTTCAACTGCAGAATTTTTTTCCGATGGAGAATTTGTGTCGGCCAATCACATTTTACAAAATTTTCTTTCTGCGGAACATTTTCCTGAGTGGAAATGGGCCTTAACAGTGTATGTGTGTACTAGTTTTGTATATTTCATTCACAGCTTACAGCGGGAGAGAGTGAACGAATACTGGTGATGGGGGCTACAAACAGACCTCAAGAATTAGACGATGCTGCTTTGCGGTGAGACAAAATTTCAATATCGTGGTCTCATTGTGTGATTATGATCTAATCAAAACTGCTCTTTCTCATTTTAGGAGATTGGTTAAAAGAGTTTATTTACCACTGCCAGACAGCAAGGTTAAATACTGGCTACAATTCTGTTTATTACCTATATAAACCAACAGCACTAGAACAACTTCATATTCTTCTATTTTACATAGACAAGAAAAACTCTTCTTGCAAAATTATTGACGAGACATCACAGTCCATTATCAGATTCGGAGCTGGATCAACTAGCAATGTAAGGAATGATATTTTTACAATAGTACTGCCTGTAAAAACATTTCCTTCAAGTGCAAACAGAATATTTTCTCCCGTTTCTTTTTCTAAACATGCAGGTTAACTGAAAATTACTCAGGAAGCGACTTAACAGCGTTGGCTAGAGATGCAGCCTTGGGACCCATTAGAGGTGAGATCTTATCCGAAATAACTGAGTGAGGATGATTGTGATCGTAATGGTGGCGATGTTCATGATGGTGATACAGATGATGGTAATGATTATGGTGATGGTAATGATTATGGTGATTGTAATGGTGGTGATGATGATGGTATTGGGTAGTGGTAATTATGATGGTAGTAGTATTGGTAATTTTGTTCATGGTGGTGGTGGTAATGGTGATTCTATGTGCGAGATCTTTCCTGGAAAAAATCCTAAACATTTCCCCATTTCTTAGAAATGCGACCTGATGAGTTACAAACGATCTCGGCTAACAAGGTATGAAAAGTCTTCGCCATCCTATAAATTTTCAAAAATAAAACGATTCTTTCTTCTCAACTATTTTACCTTCTTTAGGTTCGTAACATCAAATTCTCGGATTTTGTCGATTCTATGAAAAATGTTCGTGCGAGTGTATCACCGGAAACTTTGAAGATATTTCAAGACTGGACAAAAACGTACGGAACACAAGCGTAACGTGGTAAACTTCGTATCGAAAAGCAAATACTTAAGAAGTTGACAAAGATATTTTAAAGATAACTGCACACAAACCGATAGTGATGCAAAGAGACCTAAGTATAACTTATTTAACTTAGGTGTACAGAATGTAAACTAAAATATTTTTAGTGAAAATTCTGATCACGATAAGGATTGACGTCAAAACCTCAATAATATATTTAATTCAACTCTGATTACGATATGTGACGATTAAATAGGAATACCCTTGAACCATTTGGCATTTATGAAACTTTAACATCGATAACTAGTGACCATTTATCCTAATAAAATAGTGAGGTAGAACATCATTGAAGCTTGATGTGCAATTGTACAAAACAAATTACTGTCTATTAAAAAGTCTTAAAACAAGAATTGCGTGTTCAATTTTCCTTTGGTTTTCTCCACCATAACAATTTCTTAAACTTCACCAGAAATGCATTCCCAGCCTCCCTAGACACCACGGTCACTGAGACAGGAGTTAAAACCGGTTTTTCCTGTTCTGGAGGTTCAGGGTCACTGAGTGACCGCACTTTGGTCTTGCGATGTTTGGGAAGGGTGGAACAAAATGTTACGATGATGAATTTGACCAGCTCGTATAGTAGATACAGTGCTAATATAGCAAGCATAAGTAATATGGTCACTCCATAGTCATGTACAACTTTAACCACAATTATGAATATATAAACAAGAATCCACCCCAAAGCATTGGTCAAATTTTGGTGATTCTTCACATCTCCAGAAAGTATAAAGTTAACAAATTTATGTTGGACATTTTGTATGCTAGAACTTATACTCTCAAGGAAGCCACGACGTAAAGTTTCACACAATCCTTTAGGCAAGTTGTCTTCTGCTTTCTTCTTTAACGAAGGCTTGATGGAATCAAACAACATATTGGGCTTATGATAAAACTCTAAATTCACTCTCATAATTTTCACTGTACAGTCATTGGATGTAAAATTTATAAAACCATGTTGGTCGCTGGAAATATCTACTCCAAATTGCAGTGAAGCATTATTTATATTCAAGGTCAGTGTACCACTGTCCGCTAAGGAAGGCCACGCACTGTATGCCCAATTTGCATAAAAATTTGCATTGCCATTCTGCAAAGTGATGTTTAGATATCGTGTGCCAGTGTAGGTGAATTCCCAGAGAGTTGATGTATCGATGGTTGAATGCTCAATAGTAACACCGCTTAGTTTCATGTGCGTGAGATTATATTTGATTTTTCCAAGATTTAAAAAGCCTTTTACATGTCCTTCATGATTTGGAAATTTCACATCATTCAACAGCCAATGTAGGATTCTTATGTCAAAAGATAAAATCGTCTTCCGTAGTAGGAGTAAGAAGAAATATATCGTAATAATAACGACAGCTTTCTTCATGAAATTATTTCCTCTCATTGTCACAGTGACTCGTTTTGTCTCGAGTTCATGTTTACTTGTAACATGATACAATACGTCATGGCGAGCTTTTATATTTGTTAGGAACAAATCACCTGACATGGACTTTAGTCATTTTATCTCATTTCACCTTGTCTTATTGCAGACCGGTTACTTAGAGAGATTCAGATTTGACTTCCACTAGACCACTACCTCTCACTGGCTTAGTATGCATCTGATTGGTTAATCGGATATATCAAACGCATCTGATTGGTTAATCGGATATATCAAACGCATCTGATTGGTTAATTGGATATATCAAACGCGTATGGTTGCTTAATGGTAGTCAAATCTGAACCTACGCGTCCTAAGATCAAGTAGCCTGTGTGGCAGGCGGCTAAAGACCAAGGGTCAGTTGGACCAAGGCTGGATAACGCTTTATATAATAACTACAGTGAAACACGCAATTTGATTGGTCAATAGCCGTGCAGGATCAGGCTATCCTGCACGAGGAATTAAAATGCATTCGCGGGATTTTCGCGGGATTCCCAAAATGTCATTGTTTCACTGTAGTTATTTGATAAAACAATTACCAAATGGTTTTCCAAGCAGGATAGCGTGATCCATGCATTTGGGATGTTGCTCGACTTTCGGAAAGCGTAAAAATACACTCGCCTGCGGCTCGAGTATTTTACGCTTTCCGAAAGTCTCGCGACATCCCTCGTGAATGGATCACGCAATCCTGCACGGAAAACCATTCGGTATTCCTTTAATCCACCAGATGGTGAATTTTTCAGACTTTCTAAAATTGGTCGTAGATTAGTACAACCCAGATTAAGAAATTCTAAATTAAACTTTCTTTTTACTATTGCGAGGTCTATAAATTGATCTTTTCAAGCATTTTTAGCAAGGTTGAAAAAATCACCATCCGATGGATACTCCATATTTAGCCTTCGTACAACCGGTCCCAGATGTTTTACAAAATTTTCATACGACTGCACCAATTTTGAGGCGGCGAAATTGCCCCTCCCCACAACTTTCTAACTGTGCAAAGGACAGATGTGTTGAATACTTGTTCCTATCGGTTATATATATTCGTTTTTGTTGTAAGAACTGGTTCGGGAAGGGTTCGGGAAGATTTAGGGAAAATTTGGAGGGAAGCTGGAAGATTCCCCTTGCTACTTCCGTACATTCGAGTGGTGAGCAGTTGTCTACAGGAAGTTGAAGAAACGACTGGGAATCGTCATGGAGGAGAGATGGATACTGAACAGTCTGTGGAGAGCTTAAGACGTGTTGCTATGCAGGCATGACGTTGCTGCCATTTTCTCCCATTAGTGTCTCCAAATTTTAAGACTGACTTCAACGTTACTTATGGTTCGAACCTACACATAAGAAAACAAGTGAACGAAATCTTAATTGATGCGAACAATTTGATTTAATAACATTGATTAATTCTTCTTGTATGTTTCGTACAAGCTTTCGTGTTCTGTTCTGTTCTGTTCTGTTCTGTTTTGTTCTGTCTTGTTGTGTCCTGTCCTATCCTGTCCTGTCTTGTTCTGTCCTGTATTGTTCTGTCTGTCCTGTCTTGTTCTGTTCTGTCCTGTCCTGTTCTGTCTTGTTCTGTCCTGTCCTGTTCTGTCTTGTTTGTTAGCGACCAGACCACAAAATGTCTTAAATGAACAACAGAAGTTGTCTAACTAGATTAACTGTTGTTATTTCAGATAACCTGTACTATTTAGTTGAATTTCAGTGTGTAAATGATTTAATTTTTGTATTCTAATAAAGGTGCCAATAAATTTATGTTTATGTGAGCAAAACAAACGTCAAGGGTTCGATCCCCACCAGTGCGGGTCCAATCTCGTACCCAGGCAATGCCTGTGCGCGGGGTAGGATGACATTGGCTCTGGAGAAATTGAATTTTTCCTGTGCTGTGATTGGTTTAACGTTTATCAATCGTGCATGCCGACAAAGAACCGGAACCCCTAAGAGCCAATGCCATCCTAGCCCGCGCACAGGCATTGCTCTGGGTACGAGATTGGTGTGGGTCCCAAAGACATTACAAGAACGAACCTTTTTGGTCAAGTAAGGATTGTCTTGCTCGAATAAACGCCATAATGTCGTCATCTGCACGACTGTCACCAGTTAAGTTGAATGAGTTCTTGCCATTGGATGAACTACGACGGTACAAATACACAAGTTTTAGTGATAATCTGTTCGGGACGATTTTTGCCTTATTGGTAGACAATCGGAAGAATTATCTGTTTTCCATTATCTGTTTTCTATTGTGTAAAACCGATTGTTGAGAAAACACGCACTTTAAAAATGATACACATTGCGCGTTGACACATGTTGCGTTAACGTAACATGTTGCCGCGACGAAATTAATGCGTGAAACGTGCCATTTATGAACGGTTTTAACAAACTTTGGTTGCAACAATTTGTCAAAAAGTTGTAAGTAACAACCTTGTAGCAACATGATAAAATAACAGCATTGTCACAGCATTGTTGACAAGCTTGCTACAAGCCTGTTGCGAACACATCTTGTTGACAAGTCAATGTAAGATTTTTACGTGTGTACTATCTGCTTTATCTATATCTATATGCGGGGTTTTTTTCAGGGCTTTTTTAGGGCCGTTAAACGGCCCCAAAAACTCAATCTTGAATTGAGTTTTGAAACTCAATCTTCTCACCAAAGTTTCAGTGCAGTAAAAATGAAGTTGTTTGAGTTAAATTTCGTGACGTGTGGAAATTAGTTTTCAGTTGGAAGCCCGACAATTAAGAAAAAAATGGCTGGAATTCATCTCACAATACAAGATAAACTGGTTAACGATGCATTCGCCATCTTTAACCAGTTTATAGTGTCCCTTAGTGTCCCTGCTTCAACACATTCCGTCTCAACTACATTTATTGAGTACAGGTGTCAGCCCCCCGGTAGGGGGAGGGGGTGCAGCCACCCCAGCTGTTCAGCTAAACTCGACCTTCTCTGCAAAAACGGACCCAAGAGAAAATCCTGAAAAAAACCCTCATATGACATCGAGCCCTCTCTAGCATTTCGTGAACCAAAACACACTCGTTAGTGATTGACCAATAGACCTTATACATAATGACGTCACAAGGCTTGATGCCCGCGAGGAATGCTGGTCTTAGTAGTCATGGCCCGGGAAAATTAAATTCAAAATGGCCACTATCGAAATTTTCCCGTGCGATGACTATTAAGACCAGCATCTCTCGCGGGCATCAAGCCTTGTGACGTCATTATGCATAAGGTCTATTGTGCAGCAATCGTAAACTACCGATTATCCGTGCAACAATCTACCTGATACGGATTTCATAATGACGTCAGTCGACCGAATAAAGGTGACGTCATTCATTTTGATTTTGAATTGCAGGACAATAAATAACAAGTTGTTGGAACAATTTGTAGCAAGTCTGTTTAGCCCAACAACCTTATGGCAAGTTGTCAACAAGCCGTTGATAACTTGTCAACAAGCTGGAACAAGCAGTGCGAACACATCCTGTTGACAGGTTATTGGAACATCATTGCTACAAGTCTGCTGCAGGTTTGTTACAACTTGTGTGTTTTTACGAGTGTTTCCCACAAGATTGCCGCCACAAGATTACCTGAATCGCTTGGCATCTTCATAAGCGTTCTTTATGTCTCTTCTCTCGGCAGAGGAATGCCGTTTATCCTCTCTGGAAGATTTCTCAAACCCAACGGGGTTTTTCCAATGATCCATCCCCCCTGACAAAGGCCCAGATGTCAGTCTAGCCTCGGTTTGTAGTCTTGAAGACCGGGGATCGTCTGATCGTGAAGAATCCTGACTAGAACGAGGATCACTTGATGAACGATGACGGTTGCCCTGTGACTTGATTGGTGATAACGGAGGTGTCGGTGTCTTCCATGCTGTTGAGATGTTTTTATTCTGACTTCTGTGAGTGAGTGAAGATTGTTCGTTCCACCAAACTTCAAAGTCTTTCTGCATTTGAACTTTGGACTTTTCAAGAAGATGTTGTAAATGTTCAATTTCCGTTTTCAGAGAGCGAAGACGAGTGAACGTCTCCTTATATCTAGACATACACAGTGACACGTGCTTAGTACATGATAGACAGGGACGTACGTTTGACAGGGACGGCACCCGAGTTTGACTCTGCGAAACATCGCGGGTTTTCTCCAGGTACTTGGGATTTGCTCCTGTAGTAACACTAGATCAACAAGAGACGGTCCTTAACGGACCTCTAGGAAGAACAGTTTAGACTTTGTAATACCTGGATTTTTCATCTTCGGTAGCATTCCGTAATCTGTCCTCCTCGTCATTATCATAGTCGTCTTCCACTGAGAACAACAAGATTTACAATTACATCAATTAGAATACATCCATTGAGTCAATTAGAATACATCAATTGAGTCAATTAGAATACATCAATTGAGTCAATTAGAATACATCAATTGAGTCAATTAGAATACATCAATTGAGTCAATTAGAATACAGGATAAGCAACAAGAAGACACCAAAGATTTGCAGCGGCAGGGTTTTTGCAATGCATACAAGGCGTGAAAAAGATAAAATACCTTGCATAGAACGACGTATTCTGTGTTGTTCAATCTGGGTCTTCAGTGTATCTGTGAACAAAAAATTATTGAAACGTCCCCAAGTCTTGAAAAGCAACCAAATACATATTATGTACTTACTTATCTTCTTCCTCGAGTTGTTAACTTGTTCTCCGAGAGTCTTCGCTTCGCCGTATCTATAACAAACGTCATGAAAATATTGAGAATTTCTTGAATGGTCTGACTGTGACAGTGTAGGTAGTAGCAATGATAACAAAACTTCGGATTGCTAGGAATGCAACTACCTGAAAATACAAGGAGAACTTTGACGTTTCGAGCGAAGGTGCTTCGTTGTGTCGGGAACTGACAGATAAGATTATTATTTTAATTGATTATTAGTGCATGACGTAGGAATGATTAGGTGTCAAAGTGAGGGTGTGAATGAAATAGTCACGAAAGAGAGTTGGAACAATCGTAGTTGGACTGTGACAGTGAGTGAGAGAGAAATTGTATTGTGAAAGAAGGATAATAGCCCGTGCGCTATCTATACGTAATCGTGACCATTGTGAACCTTTTAATTTTGTTATATATCTTTGGTAAATTTTATGTTTTGTTTGAATATACATTTTTGTTACTTCGAACATTTGTGACTTGTCGAGGACTACATTTTGGAGGCGAATTCTCGACAGTTGGGAAGTTAGAATATCTGCATGTATCTTCAACGATAGCCCTGTATAATTGAAGCAATGTTAAAGTAAAAGTTTAAGAAGGACGAATCTTACCGTTGTTTTAATGTCCGTTTGTTTTCTTCGATGTTCAAATTATGAGGGTAGTCAGCGCGGAACACTTCAAATGCTTCACGTCTTCCTTGCGACATGTCATCTAGATGGAATGAAAGATGGAGGTTTATCGAACAAACCCTGTGGGAAATATCATGGGTTTTCACAAAAACAACTCGTGCATGTCACTGCACCATCTCACCTTTCATTTGTTGTGACTGCGACGTTTTATTTGAATGAGAATGCCCATTTGCCTCTTCTCTCGTTGCCACAGGTTGTTGTCGTTCCTGACATGAAAACAAGTTAAATGGATTATGGATTTCCTAGTTGAGTACAACATGTATGCTGATGGCACGCGGCAGCTATAGTGAGATGATGGGTCTAACTGCAGGCTCAAGAAAAGAGTTAGTCCTTTCCACAATGCTACCGTAGCCACAGAATAGTATACAGAAGTCCATCTCCATTGTTTTTTGCGTAAGCGCTATTCCTCATGATTCGCCACTCAGCAAGTACCGTAAACAGAAATAGTCACCCCCTGGACGTGCGCCATTTTGAATATTTCCAGGGGGGGACTGCTTCTGTTTACGGTACTTGCCGAGTGACGAATCATAACGAATAGCGCTTACGCAAAAAACAATGGAGATGGACTTCTGTATAGTATTCTGTGCCGTAGTTGTGTTCCGTGATCAGACATGAGTCATAAGGTGGCCGCCAGAGGCGCCCTTAGAAAGCCTTCGACCTGATCAGGTTGAGCTGCGTCCTTCGTAATTCAGCTTAGCTCCCCATCCCCAATATAAATATAGTTTAGTTAGTTAAACAAGTCTTTTAGTTGGACAACGTCTCTCACCTCAAGTGTCTGTACTGGTTGCTCGGACGTCACTTCACGACTCGAGGAATTCTGTCTAGAAACATTTCTTCTGTTTAAACTTTCTCTACCTCTACCTCTACGATCAGAGATGCTTTCACTGCTCGATTGTTTCCCCTGCACTCGTTCTCTCTCCCTTTTTAACATCCCAACTAAGATATCTATCGTGAAATGTTAAGGTGAAAATGTTCTTTGTGTGTGTGTATGTAGAGGGTTAATACCAAAGTGGTCAGCACAGTGCCGGCCTTCACTTGGGCTTAAAAATGTGAAGCCTCGTACAAGTCAGCTGAATTATATTCGAACTCCATGAAAATTTCAACTTATAGAATAAGAATTATACTATATACACTAAATTACTAAAATGAGAAATCACTAAAATGTTTGTTATTAGCATTTGCTGTCAAAAAGCTTTTTTGGCACTGGCACTGACATCCGATAGTTTGATTTCTTCCGGATACAGTACATACAGCTTATGAGATGAATCTTGTACGATTTTGTTAAAAAGATCTTTCGTAAGAGTTTCTCTTCTGTTGAGTGTTGTGTACTAAGGAATGGAGGTTTGCCTATTCCAAATAATACGAAGCGCTGGTTTTTGTAGCTTCTCTTAACTGATGATCGGGATTCCGGTATTCAATACAGTATACAATATGCATCTGTTTGATAACGTTGATTATAATATCACCTCAGTCGGATGTGAGATAGTTTGACTCAACCAAACATTGCAGCGTTTCTACCGGAAGCTGCGGATTGATAGGGACAAATAGGGACACAACCAGTGAACTCCATGTAAACTGGAAGGCTAACTCAGGGGGGGGGGGGATTGAAGCCAGTGCATTTTAGTTTTCTGAGTTATGAGCAGAAATACTCATCACTGAGCGTTGTGCTGTATATGAAATTGGAGCTATTGAAAAACGCTATTTGGTATTAATTCCACCAAGTGAAGTGCAAGAATCTAAGTCATTCAAGTCCACCTAAAAACAACAATAACTTTTATCATTTGAATAGTTTGAAAATGTTTTTGGAATAAGTTTAACCTTAATGTTTAAGTTCCCTGTTTAAAAAATAGAAAACATACGAGTCTTTTCATGGCTTCAATTTTTGAATTGCAGAATAATTAGATGCACTATCTAGTGTATATAGATATCTGAGTTAGCCTTCCAGTTTACATAGAGTTCACTGGACACAACGACCTGAAAAATACAAGGAGAACTTCGACGTTTCGAGCGAAGCCTCTTCATTGGGAATGTAGTATGGCCTTTCACGAAGCGCCTTCGCTCGAAATGTCCAAGTTCTCCTTGTATTTTTCAGGCAGTTGTGTCCCTATCAATCCAAAGCTTTCTACTGGATCTATACGAAGTCGAAGAACAATTTGGAATGGATAAAGAGAACTCTCCCAGGCTCCTGCAGGAGCCCTATGGAGAACAGTTGATTTGGACAGAACTAAATTATACAGCTCTTCAAAATACATGACAGATTCAGATAGACAATACTTATTAATCCGTGAAATTTTTATTACATTTATTATTTTGTACAACAAAGATTATCACAGTCTCACAGAATCCACAAATGGTTAATTATCGCTATGATCAGAGGTTCATTTAATCGCTGTCACTGAGAAATGTCTAATAAAAAGCTGCGGGCCTTTCTGTAGCGTAAAAAGTAGCGTAATATGAGTTATTTTATGCAAACATTGTCACAGTTCATTTTATTTAATCAATTCACTTCTCTTTCGTCTTTGTGGAGACTCACTCTCACAGATGAAGATGGATATTCACTCTCACTCTCTCAGGATCGTGAATAGCGGCTGGTCCTTCAGCAGTCCTGGTCATTTCTGTAGCTCTCTGTTGCTGTTTCTCACGATAACTTTTGTAGTGAACAAAACACTCGATCGCTAACACCACACAACACATGAAGGCAAAAATTGCAGACGCGTAACCTAGGCCGGGATCCTCTGCATACTGCGATATACAAACTTCGACTAAACCTGCGACAAACAACAACATGGATCCAAGAAAACAAAGACACACGAGAACTTGAGGATAAGTATGAACAAACGTGAGTTTATCCCAGACTCGCACTAGATGAAGAATAATATCCAAAACGACGTTGATGAAAGTTGACCACGCGACCCAACTCATGAAATAAAAACCACCACTATATTTGTAAGCTCCCGGTACCAGAGCACCAGCTAGCAATGAAGTGAAGAACTCGGCGATCTTAAAACGACCACTCCATGAAGCATATAAATATTCGAAGTCAAGAAATGGCCTTTGTTCGTCAGTTCCAGAGGCGGTTTCCTTCATTTCTTGGCCCATCTTGAAGGCTTGATCTTAACACAGTGAGCACAGGCTTGATCTTAACACAGTGAGCACAGGCTTGATCTTTATAGTACAGTGATCACAGGCTTGATCTTAGTTTAGAGACGTTTAACGACCTAAGCAACGACTAGCAAGCGACGTTTCTGACAAAAAACTCAACATGAACGTATATGTCAAATTGTCAATACATTCAATACAATGAGTTTGAGAGTTTCATGCATCATATGCACTTTGCGCTCTCGCCATCTGCCAGGACAAATAACCTGCGATCAGGCGTTCTTGAGAGAAATGAACGCCCCTGGTGGCAAAATTTCGGTCTGCAGGGAAGTAACCAGAAGTTTATTCGAGTATTTATATTGAGTTATTGACCAATCCGAGAGGTTCATACCAAAATTTGGTATGAAACTTGTTGGCATATACGGTTCAACAAAGCTTTTGTATCAGGCCCTCGTTTCCAATTTCGAGGGTATGATCACTGATCGCAGGTTAGCAGTACAACGGCTCGATCTACATCCGGTCGGCGTTTGCGAATCAAAAACCGTTTTAACACACTAGCTATGGGTACACTCTAAAACACCATGGTTAAAAATTTCCTGGTCATCTAAAATTAACCATGTTTCGGGTAACTTAACGTTCCTGGTTAATTTATTATTATTATCTTCATATTTATCCAGGATTACCACATCACCGAAGTGCTTTTCAGTGGAATCTTGCCTGCAACTCTAAATTACATTAATCCATTAATCCAGGATTTAGCTATATGCACTATTTACAGCAACACATACATACAATATAATTATTTATAACCTGACTTCCACCAGCCTCCTGCGCCTGTGCAGGACGCTAGATTTCCACTCCAACCGCATCGAAACGAAATACAACGCACTTCTTTGTTTGAAAGACATAAATTCTATCCTATATTTAACCACAATCCTGGTAAACCTGATCACTATCGTGCTAATTAAACTTCGCAAGGCTATATTTTCTGCATTTTACAACATTTCGCAACCAAATTTTGCAATTTTACTAATTTCATTATGTTCTTTTTAACTGTTGTGTTTTATTCCCTTCTCTTTACTTTGATTAAAATTTAGTCTAACATGCAAGTTGTCCATTATTTAAAAGCCATAGAAATAATAATTTTTCCCGATTTCCATCGTTTTTGTAAATGTATTGTCATTGACTGATGCAGCACTTACAATTGTTTTTATGCCTTCAGAGAATTTATTATTTAAAAATCTATCCTCAACTAGAAATTTAGACAGCAAAACAAAACGTTTGGACGATGAAAGCATTTTTTTGTGTCGAAGTCATTACTTCCTTAGCCTGCGGGGGCTGCCCGCAGGCTATTAGTTCCTACGTTTCGGTTCCATATGATTGAAGCGGAAAACTTCAGACTCTACTGGTCACGTACACACCGTATCATATTTCACTAAGCATGCGAACAAATTTGGCTTAGGGTTAGTGAAAATTAAAATAAACTGTTTACAGTATTATGGTTTGTTTAGTATGGCCGTATAGGTATCATTTACCACTAACAAACTTTTGTACAATTGTAGAGTAGCGTAAATATGAGATATTTTATGCAAACATTGTAACGGGTTATCTTGGCTTATGAACAGTTCATTTTATTTAATCAGTTCCCTGCGCTTTAATCTTTGTGGAGACTCACTCTCAGTCTCTCACAATGAATGTTTAATAAAAGTTAGGATTTTTCGTGGTCATTTCTGTAGCCCTCTGTTGCTGTTTCTCACGATAACTTTTGTAGTGAACAAAACACTCGATCCCTAACACCACACAACACATGAACGCAAAAATTGCAGACGCGTAACCTAGGCCGGGATCCACTGCATACTGCGATATCCCAACTTCGAATAAACCTGCGACACACAACGACATGGATCCAAGAAAACAAAGACACACGAGAACTTGAGGATAAGTATGAACAAACACGAGTTTTTCCCAGACTCGCACTAGATGAAGAATAATATCTATAACGACATTGACGAAAGTTGTCCAAGCGACAACACTCATGAATGCAAAACCACCACTATGTTTGTAAGCAGCCGGTACCAGAGCACCAGCTAGCAATGAAGTGAAGAACTCGGCGATCTTAAAACGACCAACCCACGAGGCATATAAATATTCAAAGTCAAGAAATGGTCTTTCTTCGTCAGTTCCAGAGGCGGGTTCCTTCGTTTGTTCGTCCATGTTGAAAGCTTGATCCCAGTCAGTTGTGTCAAGGTCTCGTATTTCAAAATTCTAAGCATTAATTAACACATGTATAGGATATTCACTTTCAGTATTAACAGATTAGTCATTAAAAATACAGTTTCACTTTTCGGCAAGTTTTGCGTCGTAACTGCCAGTTTGGTATCACTTTCCATTTTACTCCATTCAAGCTGCCTCGAGTCTTCGACAGGATTTTAGACTGTAACCGCAGAATTCTTACAGCGTCACCTGCTCAGCGATGTGATTTAGTCGGCGTAAAACTTGATTTTGTTCACGAAGTTTATCACGCTCACGAATATAGTCTTATTTTATCAGCTTTGACAAAGCAAAAATAATTGCCGATAATTGGCCATTTTTTGCCGAATGGCAGTTGTTTTGTGTTGTTACGCATTGAAATGAAATGAACTTCTTTGTTTCAAAGACATAAATTCTATCCTATATTTAACCACAATCCTGGAAAACTTGAACACTAATAATCGGGCTAATTTAACAAGGCTATATATGGTTGGATTAACCAGATTATGTTAGATGGACTATTAACCACGAATTCCTGGTTGATAATTATTTACTGAAAGCCAAAGAAATAATAAATTTCCACCATTTTCACCGTTTTGGTAAATGTGTTATGAATATATGATTTTATTTCGTTTTCTACGCAAGGCAGGGAATCGTTTACAATCAATCTTTGTACGTTCCTTCGTGTTCAGGTTCTTCTTCTGGTAGTATTTTCCTAAAGTTCACTTCAACCTTGTAACTGGCTTTCTCTGTTCGTGATCTGTTTGTTTCTTCGTTCGTCTTAGTTTGTCTGAGCTTCAGTAGATTTTCATCAATTGAGTTTTACTAAGTCTACGTTCACTGACTATTTCCGGTGTGCACATCTTTTTATACTAACGGTTGAGGGGATCTTGTACATGTGGTGTGATCTGTATCCAGCCAATCAACGTTGAGCTATGGACGAGTGGGCTCTCACATTCTGTTTACTTAAGGCGTTGTCGTACGGGTCGAGTCGGTTTGCTGTTCAATCCATCGATGTTTCACCTGTTCTCAAGCAAACATTTTGTGTTATTTTATTTTTACCTAAAATTCTATGTAGAAGTGATATAGTGTTTCGTAACAAATGCACAACTGAGGCAGCACTATGTTAAGGGCCAAAGCAAGCCTAATGGCCAGAACTAAAAATGATCGAGCTCTCCGAAATAAATGATAAAGTAAGACAGATTCTCGTTGACATAAGAAAGAGATCAGATATTTGTATTTTATTTATCCGTGTGATCTCGCATTAAATAATACGACAATTGACCATTTGCGTAATAGACAAAATTTTGATCTAAACAAGTCTAGACAAAAATTTCATCACAGCTTGAAAGAGCATCACAAAATTAGTAATATTCCAAAGTTTCGTTGCGAAATATTGTAAAATGCGGATAATATAGCCTTGCGAAGTTTGCAATTTTCAGTCATTTTAGATGACAAACGGGAAATTGACAGCCTCAGAGCCTATCGGGCTGTCAATTTCCCATTTGTAATCTAAAATGACTGAAAATTGCAACTTCGCAAGGGTATATTATCCGCATTTTACAACATTTCGCAACGAAACTTTGGAATATTACTAATTTTGTGATACTCGTTCAAGCTGTGATGAAATTTTTGTCCAGATCAAAATTTAGTCACGCAAATATTCAATTAATTCCTAAAATTCTTGTATGTTTTTCACCTCAACCGTATCGTAACGGTACCGTAGCATTTTTTGTGTCGAAGTCATTAGTTTCACTCTAATCTCTATATAGACAGTGCTCACGAAACAAAGAAATATGCTACGTTTTGGTTCATATGATTGAAGCAGAAAACCTCAGACTCTACTTAGTCATGTACACACCGTATCATATTTCACTAACATGCGAACAAATTTGGCTTAGGATCAGTGAAAATTTAAAAAAAAACAGTTTACAACAGTATTATGGTTTGTTTAGTATAGCCGTATAGGTATAATTTACCACTAACAAACTTTTGTACAATTGTAGAGTAGCGTAAATATGAGTTATTTCATGTAAACATTGTAACGGGTTATCTCGGCTTTTAATCAGTTCCCTGCGCTTTCGTCTTTGTGGAGACTCACTCTCACAGATGAATGTTTAATAAAAGTTAGGATCTTGAATAGTGGCTGGTCCAGCAGTCGTGGTCATTTCTGTAGCTCTCTGTTGCTGTTTCGCACGATAACTTTTGTAGTGAACAGAACACTCGATCCCTAACACCACACAACACATGAAGCCAAAAAGTGCAGACGCGTAACCTAGGCCGGGATCTACTGCATGCAGACAGCATGCTGCGATATAATAACTTCGACTACACCTGCGACACCCAACAACATGGATCCAAGAAAACAAAGACACACGAGAACTTGAGGATAAGTACGAACAAACGTGAGTTTATCCCAGACTCGCACTAGATGAAGAATAATATCCAAAACGACGTTGATGAAAGTTGACCACGCGACCCAACTCATGAAATAAAAACCACCACTATATTTGTAAGCTCCCGGTACCAGAGCACCAGCTAGCAATGAAGTGAAGAACTCGGCGATCTTAAAACGACCACTCCATGAAGCATATAAATATTCGAAGTCAAGAAATGGCCTTTGTTCGCCAGTTCCAGATGTGGGTTCCTTCCTCGTTTGTTCGTCCATGTTGAAGGCTTGATCCCACTCAGATGTGCGAAGCCGAAGGTCACGTATTTCAAAAATTTTTAAAATTAAATTAAAATTAACACCTGTGTACTGATGTGCGAATGCAATCTCGTTCTCAGAGTATGCCTGTTCGCGGGTTAGGTATGCCACTACATAACCCGCGAACAGGCATACTCTGGGAACGAGACTGGTGCAAATGCTTTCGGTCTCAGAATGAATGATCAGGTGTTGTGGATTTTTAACGGTTTTTATAAACAAATTTATAGTCAACCAAAACTATTCTAAAAACTTCCTCAAATTAGTCAAATAAATACATTTTAACAATAAAATATAGTTGACATGATAGTATAATACCTTTGCATTCTTTTAATTTCTCCATGAGCTCATTTAGATCGATTGACTGACATTTTCTGTGGCCTACATGATTACATATAATATACCAGCCAGGTGATCTCGTGTTCGTATTTTAGCCAATCAGCGCTCAGAAAGGGTTGTCCGAATAGAAATCCATTTTGATGTATTTAGTCAATTATATCTTTCATTATTCTTTATGAAACTAGTTGAAATTTTGTAATTATGTTTGGTTATGAGAACTATAGCTCTGACAAAAATATGGAATCGAAATAAAGTATATTACAGGAGATATTCCGTTGTTTTAATCATAAAGAAAGAAACTGGAACGTTTCAACATAGTGCTGCGAAACTTTTTAATTCCTTACCTGAGAACATCAGGAATTGTACTAATTACAAAGTATTTTTAAAATTAACCAAAGAACTTTTATTCGAAAGAGCACGCCAAAACTAGTTTTTAATCCGAACATCGATTTTATCTAATTTCAACACTTAAACGTTATAGTCCATAGTTATAGAATATAGTATTTAATTAGTATTTTAACAGGGAAGAGCCATATGTATGGATCTGTTGAATAAATCGTTATTATTATTATTATTATTATTATAAAATGGATTTCTATTTGACAACTAGTGCCAGTACTTTTCCGCGTATCAAGATCACCTGGAGTAGAAGGCTAATCATTGGTGGCGGGACCGGCTAAACGGAGAGTTATGAAGTGGAGAGTTATCTCGGAGAGTTATGATTTCGGAGAGTTATGTTCAAACCACACCCACTTTTCCCAACGGCCACACCCAATTTCTTAACTCTCCCGATGTTTCCTTGAACTAACATGAGAGAGTTATGTTTGACGTAACTCTCTCTCGTTAACATTATGAAGATGTTAGAGAGTTATCATTTTTTATCAATGAAGAGAGTTATGTCCGTCAGTTTTTTGAAAAAAACTTCCACATTAAAGTAAATTATTGTGAATTTACTTTTTTCTCAAGTTTCAGCTTCAACATTTCACGTTAGTAGAAACTGGTAGTACTTTACTACAGACCAAGTGAAGCGAGTACGATTATTATTACGTGCTCACTTGGATTCAGATACAGCTCTCGTATTGGATAGAACCAGAAAACCTTTTCAATGTAATGCCCTATGGAGTAATTAAAAGAATGCAAAGGTATTATACTATAATGTCAACTACATTTTATTGCGACCAGCGAGCGAGCACCAGCCAGCGAGCTGGGAGCATCCTAATCTCAGATATGGGAGATTTTCGCTGAATTGTGAAAATTTAACAAAAAATTGTGCTCAATACATTTTTCCGCTGGAATATGTATTCAACACCCTTTGCGGGCTCATTTTATCGGTATATGGAACTCGTGACCATATATAGCGTGCCACATGGAAAACAATTTTGCCTTCGTACTGTTCGTAGTTCGTGCTGATTGTGCTGTTTCGTGCATTCTTTGCATCCTTTGTTCAGTTTTGTCATTATTAAAGAGGAAAAGCCGGCTTTCAAACTTCAGGTAACTGATAGTTTTTTATATTTTAAACATTTACAATACATATTTATTTGTTCGTGCACTAAACGTTTTGCATACCATAGCTAGTGTAGTTTTGAAAACTTGTATAGCGCAGTTCGATTTACCGGTATCAGTTGTGTATTAACTTCGTGTGCAAATTGTGCAAAAAAACATCGCCAGAAAACGTGCCAAAAAAACTCGAAAAAAACAAAATAAATTGTGATTTGTCGAAAATTGTTGTCTAGCTAGTGTAGTTTTGAAAATTTGTTTAGGAGTTCGATTTGCATGCACTTTATTAATAATAATAGCAGTTACATTGAGTTAATATTTGTTTATATCTATGACCGTTTGCCAAGTTACAGTTGCACTAGCTGTTTAGATACTCAACTATATTTTATTGTTAAAATGTATTTATTTGACTGAACTGAGACTGTTTTTAGAATAGTTTTGGTTGACTATAAATTTGTTTATAAAAACCGTTAAAAATCGGTAACACCTGATCATTCATTCTGAGATTGGGCCACCTGTGGTATGAACGAACTAGAAATACAGTTTCACTTTTTGACACGTTGCCGTCGCATAAAGTTGACCGCTTCTCTGCAACCACTAACAATCGCCCTTTCTAACTACTCGAGCCGAAGGCGAGAGTTTGTATATCAGATACAGAGTCGGATGCGAATGTTTTATCGTACCTAAAAAATGACCTATCTGATGACTTCATTGGCGAAGTAATTTTAAAAATAAACAGTGTCTAAGCCGAGAAAATCAAAGTTAAAGTTTATGTAAATCAGGAAAAATCTGTATCCGATTTACAAAACATTGATTAAACATTAATTTCTTTTGTATTTTCCTCGTGAATTATTAATATTTTTTTTAATTAACAATAATAATGATAGTTTTATTCATCCATTTTAATATAAAAAGTACAATAGACCTACAATGACTCGTTAAGAAAGTATATATGCTGTGATTATGTAAGAAATGAATGTTTAGTTTTAATTAAAGATTAAAGATATATGCTGTGAATATGTCTTTTATTTATACTAAAACTTTTTTAGATAGTTTAGAAAACTAAGAAATGAAAACTATTTACAAATATTTACAAGCTCTTCCTGAAAAAGAGAGTTTATGCCTTTGAGTTCCTGAGAATGATAATTTACTTTCCAATTCTTCCAGTCTCAACGACACACAGAATGCGTCATTTGGATGCGCAGTAGCATTTCTGAATTGACATGTACAAACGAAATTAACATATACAAATCTACCGGCATTAATAATGCATCTTCTGCTGTTTTATAATACATATGTATTGTCAAACACAAAACTTGAGGGCCGCCACTTCCAAAAGAAAACATCCCAGACGTAACCAACACAAAGTTTGATGAAAAACAACATTAAAAATATGCATGCAATGTATGGTGTTTATATTTCTATTATATTAACTACGTTTCACATAAACAATAACATAATGCAGTAACAGTTCATTTCCTAAGAAAAACAAAGTAGATAATAATTGTTGAGCTTTAGCTAAGCTAAATTGTTTTATAATTGTATATATAGTTATCTAAGAAAGTTGATTTTATGCATCGTATCTGATATCAGTGAAAACGTCATCTGGTTGGTGGGTACCAGACCTCTCCTGTCTTTCTCGTCGCTCTTCCACTTTCTCTTTGAAGTTCTGGAAATGCAGGAAAGCTTCTATAGCAAATGCTAACATGACGACGAAACCAAAAATTCCTGAAGCTCGCGCCATATTTGGATTCTTGGCGTACGTAGAGATTGCCAACTCAGTAATTGAACCCAAACAAAGACCAGTCGCTCCAATGACGCATAAAACCAAGTAGATTTCAGGATGGTCTCTAAGAAACACCAACTTTTCCCAGATATCTCGAATGAGATGTAGAAAGCAGTCGATAAGGATAGATATAAACGCCGTCCAAGCGACAAAACTCATAAAACCAAAGCCAGCCTCATGGCCATAAACGGACGCGGGTACAAGTGCAGCTGCCAGGAGGCAGAAAAAGAATTCCGCGATTTTTAAGCGACCCACCCATGTATCGCGGAAGAATTCAAAATTGAGGAAACTTTGAACTGAAGGCTGTTGTTGTTGGTCCGCCGCGACTGCCGCTTCATCCATTTTACTGCAAGAAATGTTGTGTTGTGATGGTTTACTTGGTAGCAGGTTGCTGTTTAATTTGCTAACCACAAAAATGTGGACATATTTGATGCATCCTGCTTCTTCATGGGCCGCAGATGGAGGGATCCGTGCTAACCTGAAAATTTTGAATGGTCTCTGCCAGTGTAGGTAGCATCAATATTCACAAGATTAATACGGATACAACTACCTGAAAAATACAGAGAACTTTGATGTTTCGAGTGGCCTGGGGTTGTGAGATGATTTTCTCCCAGACCAGATGAATAGGTGTCTTTTCTGATATCCCAGGCTCTGTGTGACTCATCTGTTCTGTTGTCGCCTAAATTGATATCGGGCCCCTGAGTGACTTTGTTCGCATTGCTTTGCCCGACACCTTGAAAACATCAGGTTGCGCAGGCTAGGCAACGTGTCAAGGACAAGCAGGTATAACGCAGGTGGTGCAATGTTATTAAAACGAATTTTTTTTGTTCAAACAATATTTCACTGATGGCTGTCTGTTTTCTCATGAAAGATCGTTTTCGACATAGAATATTGCGAGGATATTGTACTTGAAGAGTTTGGTGAAAAAGAAATGGTGGAAACAACAACGACAAATAGATTTCAAAATTAAGAAAAACAGGATGCCTTTCTTCGGTTCAAGAACAAAGAGGCAGGTCAATGAGCTGTCTTGAGATGAATGTTCTTGATAAGCGTGAATATTCAGATGAAGAACATTCAGATGAAGAATAATGGTTTTGCAATCTACAGGACTTTCCAAGGAGTTGTAATTCCAAGGACTGATACAGTGGTGAAGAATAATCGCCTGATGGTAAACCTTCAATGGAGTTGACACAATGTCGCGTTTAACTAATAAGGACAAGTTAGATCGAACAAATGTGCAATAGAAACAACTCAACTCATAACAGAAGCAGCAGCCAAATAATAAAAGGAGTTAGATTAGGTTAGGTAGACCTTTGTCAGCATAGTGGTAAAAAGTAACACTGAAGAATATCGGAAAACAAAGGTAAGAAGAATGATGGGAATAGTTGACAATTAAGACAGACGGGTAAGATATACGATTTTACATACACTGTTAACCTGAAATTCAGGCGCTAATATAACTGTAGAAGCACCAGTGCCAAATGAACATATATGGCCATTTTTAACTTTTAACAAAAGTTGCAAGTTTTAGTTTCCATTCACTACCAAATGTTTAGGGATGACGAATCAGCTTCTGCTGGTGGTGCAACAGATCAACATACAGGGGGTTGTTGCTTTTCAACACTCGGAAATTGATGGAGGAAAGATTGTGTAGAATATAGAGATTCAGTACTAGTCTTCGAGAGATGCTCAACACAGGATGAAAAAAAGATGCAACAAAACTTTCTCAATTAACCCAACAAAGTTCCAAAAGAACCCGTTTAATTTCTTACCGGTTATCAAACGGACCAAACGAACTACGGGGAGGGGGGGGGGGAGTGCCGGCGGCCCCCAGACCATTATGCCTGGTACCCTTTTCGTGAGACCTTGTAATCGGTAACAACCACCTTCATTGTCAAAACTGGATTTCCACTATAGGCAATTATGTTGTTAAATTTAAAAAGTAGGCAAGCAGCCAAACAGTAAAGAAATGGCAGCTAGATAGTCCAGAGTAACAGTTAACAGATTTCCACAAGCAAGGTAAGTCAAAAGCAGCAATGAAAGAAAGAAAAACGGGTGTTCCGCCTCGGGGGTAGCCGCCTGCCATGCAGGCTACGAATGGGAAAATGACAAAACAAAAGGATGAAGGAACGTAGAACTGCTTGAAAGAATGCAAGAAACTTAAACTATGTTGAACAACATCCGTAATGGAAGTACGAAATACTGGCCTGAAAGGACCAAGGTTAAAAGGAGAAAATGTTTTGATTTACTTTCAAAGCATATTTCAGTTTATTTATTATTTATCGTATCTAGTTAGTATTGTTGTTTGTAAAGTATTATAACTTAAAAATAAAACCTGCAAACGAATTTCTGCGTCTAATGTTTTAGTCGATTTTAATCAATTTATAAGCGGTTCAGTTGAATAAGAAGACAAAGTAACAACGTCTGTTCACACGGAGTTCTTTCTTTCTCTTTCTACACGAGGTCTAAACTGCCGAGAATGTTGAGAAACAATTTCATCGTGATTCATCTTCGTTTTCTGTAATTTCTCCATCAAACATGTATGTAATTCCTCAGCTTCAATCTTCATCTGTGTAATATCAACCAATCTCTCGTGCGCTTCATGGAACTCCGTCAAAACCTCTTTATATTTTGCCAAAGAAGATGCCCTTTTTAATTCCAGATTTTCCCGCCGTCTTTCGGGTTTCTTCACCACTTTACATCCCTCAATCTCTCGCATCATCTCTTCGTGGATGTGACGATTATTCGTGAAATTTGCGTGGATTACCACGCGGGACTTGCGATATAATTCTCGCAGCTCCTTGACAGTGAAGTTCTCCATTTCAAACTTTAGTTTCGCGAGGGTTTTCAAAGATTTTAAATCCAATTGTTCTATGAACCATGAATCAGTTTGACGATGCGAGCCCCCAGAGTGTTTCACATCCACCTTAACATAACTTTGGTAGGATATCAATGTTTTGCAAGATACACAGCAGGACACATGTGGTTCATTGTGGTTACAATGCGATGTTTGATCCTTCAAATCTTCAAAACTCTCCACGAATTGAAAATCTTCAACCTTGGGTTTTTCGTCATGCCCACATACAAAAGATGCATCCCAACCAAGCCTACGAAATTGCTCAGTTTAAACAACATAAACCTAACTCAAAGTTTCCTAATATATAATTTAGTGTCGGAGGCTTTTTGAAAGAAGTACTATATTGTGCCGCATGTATCACGAATGTATTGAAATTTAGATTTTTTAAAATCACATTTACAGCCGTTTTGGAGACTACAATCGTCAAATAAATTCATTGGGACAAAGTTCACACCCATATAAAAACACATCTACCCCATACATAGCCTCAGTTCAGCCCTCCCCTCACCCCACCCCACCCCACCGATCAATGTTGACAACGAAACTGAGTTGGGTGAAATACCCAACATTGAGTGGTGGGGGAAGGGGTAGTAGGGTGTGGGGCGTAAAACTTCCGTTAACAAAACGACATCCCAAACTATTCGTTTGATACATCATTGTCCCAATGAATTGGTCTATGATTGTAGTTTTAGAGATATTGTCACATCCAAATATTTAATGAAGCATATCGTGTAAGATTTATGTTATAGAAGCAAGAAACCTTTCCCTTGACATCACTGTGATAAGGAGGAAATATTTTGCCTCATAATTTCCGAGAAATAGTCAATGCTATATATGGCGAAAATGGCGCCGGCTTCCATTGGGAACCCTGCTAGTTCCCTCGCCAAATCCACGTCATTATGTGTACACCTTTTTTAAAGTTAAAAGGTAAAGCTAATTTATTATTATTTACCTTTCCTGGGCGTTGCAACTCTGTTACTCCAGTTATCGGCGCGCAATTCGATTTACACATTAATGGGGGCGTGGGGCAAGCAATAAATTTTATTTTTTTTTAAATTTTAGGTCGCGGTATCGTATGGTGTATCAGATAGGATAGCTCGCATACCTAGTTTAGTGTTCTGATCATGCACGCCAATACACGTAGAAAAAAACATGAGGTATGTTGATGGGTGTTTGGAGATGAAAACTTCGAGCGAAAATGTATATACAGTTAAAAAACAATTAATAATTCATTAATTACTCGGCTGTCGCGTCGTGTTTTATATCTGATACAGCACTCCATTCTCGTATCCAGAGCCCTTCTTACGCGCGGTGCGACGAGGGGCTCTGGCCAAATCCATATCGGAACTGGCATCTGATTGGCTAGTTCTAACACCGGCTATTGTTTTCTTACCATGTTTTTATGCTATCCGGTTATGGATTTGGCCAGAGCCCCTCGTCGCACCGTGCGTAAGAAGGGCTCTGGGTACGAGAATGACACACTCCTGCTCTTGTTTTAAACAGTATTTCACCTCCAGCACTCTGACCACTGAGCTACCGAGTCCAGTTGCCCAGTATTAACCACAAGTTCATGTATGCTTTCGTGTGCCGATTAGGTGGTGTGTACAACCCCATAAAGACTGACATTCATACTGTACTAGATAAATGCAGAGTGGGTTACCTTTCTTTTTCAATATGGCGATAAAGGATACTAATTTCGTTGTCTCTTTGCTGGATCAATTCTTTCAGTTTCTTCGTCTCATTTTGATCACTCAAATATGAACTGTCTTGCGATGTGTAGTTTGATCTAAAGACACCAAGAAATATTTAACAAATAACGTCTTTACTGAGTGCAGAGCATTAATACATTAGTTACGAAGTAAGTAAGCCACATTACCTTGCAGTATCTGGGGATTTGCTGGGTTTCCTATCCAAGACATGACCCTAATAACAAATTATCAAGGTTATTCTTAGAGGGGAAAAATTCCATTTTTTGAAACAATAGGTAAGCTGCAAACGTTTCGCGTATGAGTGAGGTATTTTTCGTGCGGTCTAATATTCAGGACGCAAAATCGGACGCGAGAGAGTGGTATTATGCCTATACAGCCCATGCAGACACCACGGACAAATTATCGATAGTCAATAATCAATAGGTTGATCATGTGAACATTACCTTGAATAATTTGAAGGAAACGTTGATCTTTCTCATATCAGCACCAACTAATAACGAGGCTTCGGGATCTTTGTCTTCAATGTAAGTTTTGATCATGTGTTTCAACCTGCGTAACGTTTCAATCAAACGTAGTCATTAGAATAAAGACACACTCACTGACCCAGTGTTTTAACTCCTAGTTTCAGGTAATTAGCCATTCCGAAGTTGATGAGTGTACTGGGGACGAGTGATAAAAAGTGCCCAAATTAAGAAATGAACCAAATCACTAAAAAGACCACCTCAAAATTAGTAAGTAAACAAAGTTTGAATACGTTTACATGAATACCCTTCGAATAATAAGCTTTCGAAAATTGTGAAATTACTGATTAAAAGATTGTTTTTGGGACGCGCGTCCCAAAAACAAAAATTACAATACATTTCATAGTAAATATCGCGATTTTCGAAAGCTTGTTATTCGAGGGGTATTAATGTAAACGTCTTCAAACTTTGTATACTTACTAATTTTGAGGTGCTCTTTTTAGTGATTTGGTTCATTTCTTAATTTGGGCACTTTTTAACACTCGTCCCAAGTCCTCTCATCAACTTCGGAATGGCTAATTACTGAATGAATACTTTTCAGAAACCTGTTCTTTAAGTACTTAATTTATAGGCTAAGTTACCTTGAATCTTAACTGAGTTTGTACAAACTCAAGTACGCGGCAATAATCATTGGGGTACCAGTCAGGTACGATCAAAGATTTTGAATTCTCACACCCTGGCTTTATTTCGGTTTTCTCACCTTTCAATATCCTCTTCAGTCAGTTCTCCCTTGTACTCCATTCCTGTCGACAGTGCTAGCTCGTCTTTCAATTGCTGTATTTCTTGCTTTAACTTGATTATCATCTGAAGAAAAAAACCTTCTTTAAACCTTCTTTAAAACTTCCTCTCAACTTTCTTTAAACCTTCTTTAAAGCTTCCTCTCAACTTTCTTTAAACCTTCTTTAAAACTTCCTCTCAATTTTCTTTAAACCTTCTTTAAAGCTTCCTCTCAACTTTCTTTAAACCTTCTTTAAAGCTTCCTCTCAACTTTCTTTAAACCTTCTTTAAAACTTCCTCTCAACTTTCTTTAAAACTTCTTTAAAGCTTCCTCTCAACTTTCTTTAAACCTTCTAATTAAAACTTCCTCTCAACTTTCTTTAAACCTTCTTCTAATTATTTCACGACTGACATTAAAGGCTGGTTTACGCTATCAAAGTTTCTATGATCACAGTAGGAATTTTGAATTGGTAAAGGTGGTAAAGATGTTAAAGGTGTTTTGAAGATTTTAAACAATAAGACAGTTTCCTCAAAAATTTCTTTCAAATTCTTCATAACGTAGAATTTACCCATGCAATATTCCAACTGCGATCCAGCCTTACAGTGAGTTTCAGCTGACTTTTCACCGTAAGATTCCGAACTTCGTTCCGAACTTCGCAAATTCGTTGCCAAGTTCAAAAGTTCATAATGAAATTCACAAACAGGTTTGTAAACAAAGCCTCTGATTGGCTATTAAATCAAACCAGCCAATCAAATGCCCAGTTTACAAACCCGTTTGTGAATTTCATTATGAACTTTTGAACTTGGCAACGAATTTGCGAAGTTCGGAACGAAGTTCGGAACATTTGAGTGAAAAGTCAGCTGAAACCGACTGTAAAACCTATATGTATTTCTGTCTTGAAACTTGAATGTGTTGAAAGAATATTATGGTCAAGCATTTATAAAAAGTACAACATTATCACAAACGTACAAGCTTCGGATCAATTTCTTCATTTAAGATAGCATCATTTTTAATCATGGCCACTCTCTGCGCAAATCTACACGTTGATATGGACTCCTAAGGGAATGAAACAATTACTTAAATTAAACACGAGATTTGATTCTATTAATCAGTTCTAATTGGTTCTAATAACTTACATCAATATTCTTGCGGTCAATCGATAAAGTGGCAATCATAGTTGTTCTGCAATTCCCTCCCAAACTAAATGCAAAAAGAATAGTTCTACATTATTCAACTGTTAACATACGAAACCATAAAATAGTGAACAATTCTTGACCCATAAATTATTGGAGTTTAACTAGTTCTTACCTGTCTCTTAGCACTGAAGTAAGAAGCGAATTACGATACGGAATGTGAGTTCTTGATTTCTCAGACAAAGCCACAATCACCTGAAAACATGTTTGGAGAAATCAATATTCATGCTGTAAAAACAGTCACTTAGACGTTTCGACCTTTCTATGCATTCTAATCTCACGTTACATGGGCAAGATAATGCGATATGTTTCAATTAGAATGTTGAACGGTATTCAATTAGAATGCTAATTATTATTTTTCATTTCTAACCTGTTCAAGATAGTGTAGTGAAAGGTTGATATATTTTGCTTCAGTCAAAATTGTCCCATCAACACCACTCTTGTGAATTCTCTCAGAACTAAGAAACATTTTTGTTAAATATTATATGACACGTAAGCATGAATATTCTTGAAAGTTTTGCCTGCAAGCACAAATTATTCATTACTAATTATCAATAAATAACTACAGTAATTATTATGTAATTATTTTTTTTCCGTACCCAGCCAGATCAACAAGATGTAACTTGGCTCTTCGCAATGTCGCTGAACCAGGTTCTCTAGCAGAAACATGAATTGTGAAGATGCAATGTGATCTTGTTGATGCTTGGTTCATTGGTGTCTAGGAAGAGTTATTGTACCATTTATGTATAATTAGATAAATCAAAAAGAGTACAGGCTACTGTATATAATGAGGAAAATACAAGGACTGTTTTGATCATTGTTCTGTACTATCTGTCATATCTAATACCTCAGCAATCATTCTATTTGTATCTCCAAGAAACAACCAATTTAGCGCTAAATGAAAGAGACAATTGGAAGGTTAAAAAAAACACTTCAAATGATTTGGAGAAACTTGGCATGTCCAAATGGAGTCACATCACTTGTTCAAAATTTAATTTCTGAGCCCTACGTTATTATTTTACTCTGTCTCTTGTCAAGAGTTAACCTTGTCATGGGCTACCCAAGAAGTGACACCTCGGACCATGGAGCTATTGGATGCCCAATTGACCTTTCCCCTTATGAGTGAAATTTTGATCTAAACAAGTCTGGACAAAATTTCATCACAGCTTAAAAGAGCATCACAAAATTAGTAATATTCCGAAGTTCCGTTGCGAAATGTTGTAAAATGCGGATAATATAGCCTTGCACAATTTGCAATTTTCAGTCATTTTGTATTACAAATGGGAAATTGATGCCCCACACCCGATTGGGCTGTCAATTTCCTGTGCGTAATACAAAATGACTGAAAATTGCAAACTTCGCAATGCTATATTATCCGCATTTTAAAACATTTCGCAATGAAACTTTGGAATATTACTAATTTTGTGATGCTCTTTCAAGCTGTGATGAAACTTTTGTCTAGATCAAAATTTTAGTTATAAGGGGAAAGGTCCATTGAAACACTGATAATTTAAAATATGTAGTTCTGTACCTTCCTCTTCATTGTTTGCTTGGTGTAAGGAAAGGTTCTTTAAATGTATATTTCCATCATTGTCTTCCATCAAACCAATTTTTCTGCAGGCAGAATGCTATGATGAGTCATTTATACACAGTAGCAGAAAGTTGTTTTATTGAGGACATCAAGTTTTCTTGCAACTTACGGCAAATCTTCAAGTTTTGATGCTTCATGTTTTGGATCCAAGAGATCATAGCCATTGTCATTGTAAACTTCAAGATACGACACATGAGATGTGTACACATACTCTGGGTTCTAAGTAATTTAATATTTCCCATTTTTAGTGAGTTAGGCCATGATTCATGAAGGGGGGGGGGGGTTCCAAGGGTGGTGGGAGAGTTGTTGGTGAAGTTTGGAAATTCCAGGGAGGAGTTTTCAGATACTCTAGGGGGGTGTACCAGATGCTAGGGGGGATATGGTGCTTGCAAATTTTCCAGGAGGTGGGTGGGTGGATGGCATTGTTTTAATTTAGTCAGGGCATTAGAAACTAATATAACAAGAGTTTGACTATATAGTAAATATATACGTCAATATCTTAAGCTTACTTCACACGATGAACGTGTGTTTTAATCCATTGGACATGGAGCAACGAATTTTTGGTGTAACTTTACCAAATTTTCAGTGAAGAAAGCCAAGAAAATGCTGATTTCGAAAATTTTCATTTGATGGGTGTTCAGTTTAAACATTTTCAGTATTGGCTGACTCATTGACTGAATAAATATATAAGTACCTTCATAAAAAGATCAAAATATGTTTATAGTTTACCTCAACATTTGTCTAGATATCGCAATTCGAATCTTCATAGGCACGGTAAAAAAGTGTGCGGAAAATGTCTCTTCTTTAGTGGTTTTTCTGATATGCCCTGATTCTTGGATTTGTCACTGATATTCACCAAGTTGTCAAAGAAAACGTCATATCAGAAAAACCATTGAAGAAGAGAAATTTTCCGGACACCTCTTTTTTACCTCTTTTTTTTATGATGATTGAAATCGAGATATGTAGACAAACATTGAGGTAAACTATAAACATATTTTGATTTTTTTTATGGGATATTTATATATTTCTTTAGTCAGCCAGTACTGGACATGTTTAAACAGAACACCCATCAAATGAAGATTTTCGAAAATCAGCATTTTCTTGGCTTCCTTCACTAAAAATTTGGTAAAGTTACACCTAAAATTTGTTGAGCCATGTTCAATAGACTAAAACACACATTCATCATCAAGAGCAAAGAGCCTGGGAACGAGGTTGATTCATCATGTGAAGTAACCTTAAGTGACTACATACTTTTTCAAAACATCCAAACATGTATGATAGGGTTCTTGGTATTATTCCTCTGTCTGCATATCGTTCTGCTCCTCCAGTGATTGTGAATGTCTTTCCAGATCCTGTCTGTAATAACGAGTCACTCGTTAGCTCAATAATGAGTCACTCGCTAGTTCAATGAGTAGCTCGTTAGTTCAATAATGAGTCACCCATTAATTCAACGAGTAGCTCATTAGTTCAATAATGAGTAGCTCATTAGTTCAATAATGAGTAGCTCACTAGTTCAATAATGGGTAGCTCATTAGTTCAATAATGAGTATCTTGTTAGTTCAATAATGAGTCACTTGCTAGTTCACTGAGTAGCTTGTTAGTTCAATAATGAGTAGCTCATTAGTTCAATAATGAGTATCTTGTTAGTTCAATAATGAGTGACTTGCTAGTTCAATGAGTAGCTTGTTAGTTCAATAATGAGTAGTTCGTTAGTTCAAATAACAAGTAATTCGTTAGTTCAATAATGAGTAGCTCGTTAGTTCAATAATGAGTAGCTTGTTAGTTCAATAATGAGTCACTTGTTAGTTCAATAATGAGGCAATTATGTTACCTGTCCATATGCAAATATTGTTCCATTAAATCCTGATAAAACACTACAAGAATCAAATTAATAATTTACTTTTAAAAAGTTTATTATTAGCATGGATATTATTTATAGAATGGGTCATTTCATAAAACATCCACACTTCCCCCACAGAAGAAATTGGAAATTAAATGTTATTTTCCACTGACTGCGGAACAAAAAAAGTAGAAAACATTTTCTCACACACTGCTGGGGGCCAGATAGAAATCAGGTGTTATCAAGTGGTGCAAGTTAGATATTTTTGTTGTTGCTCACCGTAGCTTGACATAAGTTGTCATTAAAGTCAACATACTTGTCAATAACGCCTCTGGCTACATGTTCAAATATATCATCCTGTTTCGTATGTCTGTCAAAAGCTTTATTGAATCTGAAAAGTTATTCATATATAATAATAGTTATTAATTAGTTTTGGTGTAAAAACATTCTATAATCTGTTGCAAACACTTTGCAAAGCAATATTATATATTGGTCAAGCTTGAAATGAAACTGTTAAACATCCTAACAATCATATATGCCTAGGGAGGGGATGTCACATTCAGATTGATCAGTGCATTAGGAGGCCATGTACATTTTGTACATAAGCAAAAAAGTTTGCAAATTTTACCCCCTCCCTCCCCCCTTTGTATGCAAAGAACAATAGAAATGATATCATGCTTGTGTGATGTTACTCTGAGTGTATATCCACACCGGGCAGGCCTGAAAAATATGCCTGGCCACCTACGTCACCTTTGGAATACTAGCCCAATGCTCAGGTCGGTTCGAGTGTGCGATATTTCGGAACTGAGTCTAGTTCCTGACTCGAACCGACCTGACCGTGTAGCTCAGTTGGCAGAGCATTGGGCTAGTATTCCAAAGGTCATAGGTTCAAATACCACTGTGGCCAGGCATAGTTTTCAGGCCTGCCCGGTGTGGATATACACTCAGAGTAACATCACACAAGCATCTTATTCACCTGAGTACATTAGACCAACACAGCATATATCAGAAATGATATAATTTAAACAATATGCATGTGCAAAAATTCTGATTATGCCCCCCTTAGTTGCATACATGGACGACCCCAAGGGAAGATTAAGAAAGGTTGGACTTCATTCACTGGTGTAGTAAGAACAATATTTATCAGCAGACCACCTGTTATAGTGAACTCAATCACAATACCTGAACTTGTACATTTCCTTCTTGTTGTTGATAAAATCTCGAGCGAGATCTTTTGGGACATGGAATGATACATAGGAATAGCCATCTTCCCCATCTTCACAATCACAATCCTGGACGAAATAAAGTGATTCAAGAATATCAATCTTTCTTGTTTAAACACACAAACACAAAGAAACACATTTGGAAGTAGTTTAAACTTAACATTTAAAGATGAATTGCAAGAATATGTTATTTGTATGAAATTTTAGTAGTTCTAAAGAATGATGGAGTTATAAATGACTTTTTTTTAGGAAATTAAGTTTACAAGGTATTAAATAAACTAGGTCTAGGTGCTATTAAGGTACACGATGTCAAAATTGAAAATGGATGGGTAAAAAAAGGCTGTCAAATTCATTATTCAGTGTTACATACAACAGTACAAAAGTCCTTAACGATATATAATATTAGCACATAGAGTGAAAAATTGTAGAATTAAAATGAACTATAAGGTTTATGAACATGTACTGACAAATCAAACAGTAAAAACAGTAAAACACATGTTAAATTTCTCACCCCGAGACGTCCTTTTCCCGGCTTTACTCTGGCAAATATTTCAATGCCGTACTTCACCATAATTTCCTCTTTCTTTATTCAAAATAATGTCGATTTCTTTTCATCATAATTCATAAAAGGATTTAAATTTGTTTTGTTTTTGCGAAATTTTTCATGTTCTAGTTTGGGACAACGTTGGCAACAGACTGTTTTGACGTCTGCAATACACTTGTGTGCGGCAAAACTTCAGAACGTCATGTTATTCTGGGTGAAAAACTTGGGGTTTCACAATGGACGAAATTTTGATCTAGACCAGAATTACAAAGTTTGGTTGCGAAATGTCGTAAAATGAGGAAAATATAGCCCTGTGAAGTTCGTAAATTTTGTATATATTGATGACTGCATTTCTTGCGTTTTCTGAAGCAAATTCATAAAAGAATTGCACTAACATTTCTGACAATTCGCTATTTCGCCAAGGGCAATCCTTTAAATCGAAAGGGCACCTTTGCCCCCCTTGCCCCTCCTGGTGAGGGCAACGGGGGCGGCTGCCCCCCTCCTCCCCCCCAGTTCCGGCGTCCCTGAACTCGTTTCCAGAATATTCCCTCTTGTGGAGGAAAAAATCAAGGGAAAGAATAAGAACAACGTGTCGGAAAAGACGAACTCGACCACGAAACTTATCAAGCATGATTTTTTTCCGAGATACAATATGAAATATTGTTTGCCGTGTAGCAAACGACTCTGAATGCCATACGCCAAAATTTCTGTGTTTTTTTTTCGTACCCCCCTCAGAGGTTTTCTTTTTTTTCATACCCCATACCCCATTTTTCATATATATATATATATATATATAAACGGTTTATAATTTCAGCCCACGCAAAAACGCAGATTATTCCATCCGGTGTTGCACGTCATGAAACACATGACTGACGCAAAAAATGGAATGTGAAAGTCCGGAATTATACTACAAATTCATAGAGAATTTTTGAAGTATTTTCATACTGTATCTCGGAAAAATCATGCCTGATAGTTTCGTGGTCGAAACACACGTTGTTCCTATTCTTTCCACAAGAGGGAACTGAAGATTCTGGGAAGGAGTTGATTTCTACGAACAGATAGTTCGATAACAGATTCATTTGTTAGACGCCACCTATTTGCAAGTAGAAATGTTTTAGGTTTTTTTTACTTTCCTAATCAAGAACTGAAACAAAAACTACTCAATACGTCAAATTAAAACTTTTAAACTAATATGTTCTGATTTTCCATTGATCACTTTCCCAAAAGGTTTTATGAAACGAACGAAACCAAATATATATATATAGGATTTGGTTTCGTTGGTAAGGATTTGGTTTCGTTCGTTTCATAAAACCTTTTGGGAAAGTGATCAATGGAAAAATCAGAACATATTAGTTTAAAAGTTTTAATTTGACGTATTGAGTAGTTTTTGTTTCAGTTCTTGATTAGGAAAGTAAAAAAAACCCTAAAACATTTCTACTTGCAAATAGGTGACGTCTAACAAATGAATCTGTTATCGAACTATCTGTTCGTAGAAATCAACTCCTTCCCAGAATCTTCAGTTCCCTCTTGTGGAAAGAATAGGAACAACGTGTGTTTCGACCACGAAACTATCAGGCATGATTTTTCCGAGATACAGTATGAAAATACTTCAAAAATTCTCTATGAATTTGTAGTATAATTCCGGACTTTCACATTTCATTTTTTGCGTCAGTCATGTGTTTCATGACGTGCAACACCGGATGGAATAATCTGCGTTTTTGCGTGGGCTGAAATTATAAACCGTTTTACATACTGCCAAAGGGCATTATCGCCTTATCGTGACTGTCTTGTGACCTACATTTCCATATCATCAATATCAGTTGGGACTGTACGTATCAAGAGGCATTCGCGTAATAAACACGAGGAAAATGAAGTCCGCTTGTATCGTGCTTTCCTTTCTCGTTTGTGTGACCTTACTCCCCAACATTGCAGAAGGCAAGACATGGGCTGTATTGGTAGCTGGTTCAAACACTTGGGATAACTACAGACATCAGGTATAGTTCGCTCACTTTATTCAGATCAAATTCATCGACCATCTTGTAATTATATAAGCAACTTGTTAGTTTGGTATTAGGCAGCATATAGTTGAAACAGTTCTGTAAATGTTGTTCTATTAGTACTGATCTAGTATTAAACAAATAAAACGTATTATGAGTACACTCTGCTATTCTCGTGACTATATATGTTTCATAAATCGGCGTATAGATCTTTCAACAACTATACTGCTCCACTAGAACGACTGTATAAACTATACACTACAAACAAAACGAAATCCATGCCGGTGAAAATATGAGCTAGATATTGCGTTTTAAAATGAAACAGTGTACAGCTGCTTTCGTTTTGAAGAATTAGTTATACACATGACGATCAAATGACAACATTACCCATAAAGCAACTAGATACGATGTTGGTAACGGGATACAAATCATCACATGACACACGCGACGTTCTCGCGCCGCCTTGCTAGCGCTACACTCTCCTCCGCAGAGCCTTACGAATTTTTAGTAACATTACGTAATATTGCCTCTACTATCCCTACATTATCCCTACAATCCCTACTACATTATCCCTACAATCCTATATAATTGACTCTGCGGAGGAGAGTGCCCAGGCTATATTTCGTTCGTGATGTTCAGGAATACTATCCCGAAATGACGTCAAAAGGATTAGAATTGTATTTTTAAAAATTTAATATAGAGATTACAGAATAACAATTGAAAATGACCCGATGTTAATTGGTTTGAACAAGCGATGTGAATTATCTAGTTCGAAACCTTAGCCAACTAAGCCAAGGACCAAGACTGCTCAAAAAAAAAGTTGAAATTACTAATTAATGTAAGAGTCGAGACAGCAGGTAGAACTGTCTGAACCTCAGCACAAACTGAATGAACGTCCCTGACTGCGTTACTTGTGTACAGGGGGCTTGAACCACGACACCAGTTTCTGGCCTATGACTACAGTATATGTCTACAATACACATTTTATGTTGCGTGTGCCATGGGAGAATTGCCCCGCTCCTATTCTCTCGCTGGGGGTAGAAGGCATATTAGCTAGAGCCCTTCAAAATAACTATGTACCAAACCGTATTTACTGCCATGCTCATTTGTGTAGATAGCGTCTAATAAATCCTCTCTAATATAAATAGACACCTTTCTAATACGGACATTCAGTGTCTTTATTGAAGAGATTTGAAAGCTGTGTACTGAGAGGGATTCAATTGCCTGAAAAATACCAGTTAATTAACCATTCCGAAGTTGATGAGTGGACTAGGGACGAGTGTTAAAAAGTGCCCAAATTAAGAAATAAACCAAATCACTAAAAAGACCACCTCAAAAGTAGTAAGTATGCAAAGTTTGAAGACGTTTATATGAATACCCTTCGAATAATAAGCTTTCGAAAATCGCGATATTTACTATGAAATGTACTGTAATTTTTGTTTTTGGGGACGCGCGTCCCAAAAACAATCTTTTATTCAGTAATTTCACAATTTTCGAAAGCTTATTATTCGAAGGGTATTCATGTAAACGTCTTCAAACTTTGCATGCTTACTAATTTTGGGGTGGTCTTTATAGTGATTTGGGCATTTTTTGTGATTTCTTAATTTGGGCACTTTTTAACACTCGTCCCCAGCTCACTCATCAACTTCGGAATGGCTAATTGTATATTTCAAGTAGTTGAATCCGTGTCAGTCTGCAGCGCTCTGCTGTCACTACTGTATAATTGAAGAGATCTGTCTGTCCTCTTTGCTGTAATACCCAAAATTTACGTACCTGGTCCTGTATATTCCCTCTAGGCCGACATCTGTCATTCGTACCAAATACTCCACAGAAATGGCATTCCTGATGAGAATATCGTCGTGATGATGTATGATGATCTTGCTCACAATGAAGATAATCCAACACCTGGTAAAATCATTAATAAGGTATTTAATTTATTAACCCACAATACACCACATTTTATTATACTATTCTGTGGTCGCACGATGCATAGAAATTTTCCTCCTTTCCTAAAACTGCTACATGGGCATGGGGCCTGTACCCGAAGAGAAATAAACCCCTTTTTTCCACTTTAATACATGAAGTGTTGTTTTTTCTAGCCTAATGGACCCGATGTTTACCACGGGGTTCTCAAGGATTACACTGGAGCGGTATGTGGGACTTTATTCAGAAATGGTTCATTTTTGAACCATCTACACACGCACAAATCTCACAACTTGTCAACAAGATGTGTTCGCAACAGGCTTGTAGCAAGCTTGTCAACAAGTTGTAACAATGCTGTTATTTTATCAAGTTGCTACAAGGTTGTCACTCACAACTTGTTGATAAATTGTTGGATTGCGCAGGACGATAACAAGTTGCTGGAACAACTTGTAACAATTCTGTTGGACTCAACAACCTTGTAGCAAGTTGTCAACAAGCAGTACGAACGTATGCTGTTGACAAGTTGTTGGAACAGCATTTCTACAAGTCTGCTGCAGGTTTGTTACAACTTGTGCGTTTTCACGTGTCAGTAATAAAATGTTCACCTTGACCTTTTCAGGCGGTTACTCCAAAGAACTTTTTGAACGTACTGAAAGGAGACAAAGACGCTTTGAGAGGAACTGGCAGTGGAAAGGTCCTTGGAAGGTAAGGAGAATGTCTGACACCCGAATATAGTATCTTAGCATTGTCGTGCAGATGGTGGTTAACTTGCAGCTATCAGAGTAAAATTATGATGTCAAATGTCAATTGATTTCGTTTTATTGTATGTAGTAATAAAATACATGATAGTGTTGGGAAAGCATTAAGAACAGCTAACCAAGATCGCGTGACTGCCTCGTGCACTCTCATCCTAGTTTCATCCGGGGTTTAGTGCTTGCTCCTAGAGGTGTCAACATTTTTTCGTGTTCCATTCTGTGATGCATGAGCTTCATGTGCATACACTGTGGTAATTTCGTTCTCTGTCATGTAGTGGCCCAGATGACGATGTGTTTATATATTTTGCTGACCACGGAGCGCCTGGACTTATTGCTTTTCCTGATGTCGCTCCAACAGTGAGTATCTTCATTAAACGTAACATCTCTCAATTTCTGTGTTCTTAATTTGTGTTTAATTCCAAGAAATTACATCTGACAACCAACACTTTTTGCTTTAGTTGAAGAAAAAGCAACTTTTGGATGCCTTAAAATTCATGCATGAAAAAAAGAAATACAAAAAGGTACAGTAGAAATAGAGTTCCTTTTTTGGGTTCCTGCTAATTATGGGTCATTGTGGTTAATAATTAAGGCTCCATGTGGCTAATTATGATTTAATGTTGCAAATTATGGGTCGTTGTTACCAATTATGGGTCATCAGTTACTGGTCATTTTAAAATTACAAACGTTTCTTTAGATGGTAATATACATTGAAGCTTGCGAATCAGGGTCAATGTTCTCTAACGGCGGACTGCCCGATGATATCAAGAGTTAGTATGATTTAATGATTATGTTCAAAGTTCGAACGATTGGCAATAATTCCGGGAACAAATCGTGCTTGTCTTCCCGACGTCATTAATTTTTCATCTCGCTACCTACAGATTTTTAGCAAAAACGGACCTCAGCATCGAAATCGTCATGCTCATACTAGTTTATAGCGAAAATTTCATGTTTGGACATTCAGGGCACGAGTTAAGGCCGTTTTCCACTAGGCGGAGTTTTCCGCGCGGAGCGGAATTTCTCTTTGTCTTTTCTAATTAGTTCCACCCGAGAAATCACAAGACAAGGACAATTTCCGCTGCGCGCGGAAAATTTCCTCCTAGTGGAAAACGGTCTTTACGTCGTTTTGAACATTTTGTTTTCCCTATACATTTGACCGCAGTTTCCGCTGCAATGTCCAAACATCATGAAATTCTGAGTTCCATTTCCGCCAAATAGCAAGATGAAAAATCGATAACGTGAACTCGGATCGGAAAATATTGTATTTACATATGTACGTTTGTACATAGAGAGAGCATCATCCGTGTCTAGTATAAATCAAGCTATCTATATTTTCCTGTCTCAACATAATTTCCTCTTTTTCCAGTCTTTGCCACGACTGCTGCAAACCCACATGAATCATCTTACGCCACGTACTGGGATGAAAAGAGAGAAACATACCTTGGTGATCTCTATAGTATTGCCTGGATGGAAAACTCAGACAAGGTTAGACTACACCTGTATATGAAAATATAAATGAAAAAATATAGTTAATGTAATATTGGTCATTTTACAATTCCAGTCAAACCTGACCAAAGAGACGCTTCAACAACAATTTCTAAAAGTTAAAAAGAGGACAAACTTGAGCCACGTCCAGGAATATGGAGAAAAGGTGCGCCAGATGTTGAACGCATGCTCTTATAAAACGTTAATAACCAGTGTGCTGTAGATCATATGTGCCAGTACATATGAAATATTATGAAAGCTTAAAAACTCATTAATAATTCATGAGGAAAAGACATGTTAATCTACATAAACTTTAGACAAAGTTGATTTTTTTTCGCCAATGAACTCATAGGATGGGTCATTTTTAAGCGATTTGAAACACTCGCAGTCTTTACCAGATATACGACACTTGCCTGTCGCCTCGTGTTCTCAATAAAACACTCGTGTTTTAAATAGAACTGAAGTTGACAAGTCTGCTGTGTAGATCATGTGCAATAATGAAATATTATCATTCAAGCATAAAAATGCTTCATTACAATCGTTTATCCATGTAGGACATCTCAAGTGACCCAGTGATCGATTATCAAGGAGAAGGTCGTGGATCCTGGTTG